TCCACAGCGGCAGGAACTGACTGCACCACTGAAACAAGTGTATGCTATGAGGGGTCAGATTTAGCCATCACTTTGGATGTTAATTCTGTAAGACAAGGCTGTCAAGAAGTTGGCAATGCGGCTGCCTGTTGCAGCTTATGCGCAACATACTGGCCTCAATGCATTTCTTGGCAATACATCATTGAGGGGACGGCTGAGAACGGCTACAACGGCATGAGTTTTTATTGCTGCCTCAAAAGCACATTTCGGCCAAGCCCTTTGTCTGCAGCATATTGTTCATCTGGATATTTTAATCCGCAGTGCACCTTGACTTCAGCGTGCAGCTTTGACATTACAGGCACAAGCCTCACAGACGCATCCACCGTGGCGGTAGAGACAGGCAGCGCCTGTGGGGATGCAGGTTATAGCCTTGAGACATGGGCTGGAATCAGCAACCCAGAAAATGCCACGTCCTATGCCGATCCCACTGCAACCTTTGACCTTGGAACTGCTTCTGGTGGCAACGTGGGTGACTACTTGCTTTGTCATGGCTCTTCCATTGATGCAGATGACTTTCTGGACCAGGTGGGCACCTTTACCATGAAGGGCCCTTCGAGTGGCCAAGCATTTGACTGCACACTGGGAGTGGACTGTATCTTGACACTGGCGGGCTTCAGCCAGTCGGCCTCACCAGCAAACTACCAGGTGGTCATTACTTCTGGGAGCTGTGGCAGTGGACTCACCGCTGCCAGCGCTGCCAGCTTTTCCGGTTCCTTTGAGAACCCCAGAATCGTTTGGGATAACAACGATGACAACTACTACGAGATGAAGACCGGCACTGAAGCTGATACAACCATAACATACTCGGTGTGTTGGGCCGCAAATCCGGCATCCTTAGATGAGTACATTTTCCTGGTGGGCACTTTCACCATGAACGGCCCTACCACAGGGATGTCGCACGCCTGTACTTTGGGCCAGACCTGTGTCATCACCTTGACAGGGGCAGGGTTTACACAAACTCAGGCGGTGTTAGCCGCGGTCGGTGCCAATGGCGTTTGTGCCCTTTTGGTTGATGAATTGGTGGCAGCCTTTGGGGCCAGCTTTATACACCCCACTGTGGCACAGGCCTCTCCATACACCGACTATTCCTTTGGAACTGCCCTGAGTGCTCACAACAATCTGCCCGGTGACGGATACCGTGTGTGTTGGTCATCCTCACCATCATCCACACCACCATTGAAGACCAATGCGGACTATGCCATTGACGCTGGACTCTTCACATTACATGGTCCTGTTCAGAGCAACCATGAGTGTGTCTTGACCCTTCCGTGTGAGATCACCTTGACGGGGTCAGGCTTCAGTCTTGGCTCCCATGGGCTACTGTTGCTGGAAGAGGGGGCCTCCTGTGGCACTACCACAACTGTCGCCGATGCGACAGGGTCCTCGTGGACAAATCCAGCAAATGCGTCTGTTGACACATTTTCATTTGGCACCTCGACGCAGGGTGTCGCCAGCAGCAGTTACATTATTTGTTGGGCTTTTCAGCCCTCCAATCATAGTGACTACAATGTCTATGTGGGAACCTTTCAATTGGGTGGTCCAAATGTTCTGAGTGGTTCTTCCTGCGTCAAGGGAGAAAACTGCATCATCACCTTGACTGGCATTGGCTTCGCCAATACCAACAAGATTTTAGTCATAGACACCAGCAGTTCTTGCGGCGCCTCTGCGGTTGCAGCAACTTTCAGTGCCCAAGCTTGGCATAGAGAGCTGTATTCCAAAGAATCCCAAACGGCCCAAACGGATTTGTGGAGAACCACAGCTGTAAATATAAACAGGTCTTAGTTCATATTATATAGTCATTCAGGACGTTTCCCCCACTTGCTTTCATAACTTGTGTCATAGATTAAGATAATTTACCTATATTGTGGATTATTATTATTGCGAATGCAAATGGCAAATATGAATGGAATTGTTGTTGCCGAGCGATTGAACTCTTCAGACGCCCTCATCCTCCTTTTGCAGGTCCTATGACAGTTGAGACGCTGGTTCAAGATGGTACATTTACAGAATACCAATTTGGCCAGCCGAACACCGGAACTGCACAGTCTGGATACACACTATGTTGGTCCGCCAGTCCAAGCTCCACTGCAGATTTCACACTGACACTGGGCCAAATGTCAGTGACAGGGCCAAATGAACAAAATGTGGCATGTACCTTTGGCCTTTCTTGCGTCCTGCAGCTGGTGGGCTTCCAACTGGAAAGCACAAACAAGATGATTGTGCTTTCTGCCGGGGAGTGTGGCGACAATGCGCCGACACTTTCCTCAGTCACTGGCATGCTGAATGCCATTACCGTCACAAGCCAATCGCCATATGACAGCTACGACCTAGGTACACCTTTGGCCGGACAGCCGCGCACAGACTACAAACTTTGCTGGTCGAGTGCGGCGGCTGACGGTGCAGGTGCTTCGTTCTACAGGGTGCCTACGGGTCTTCTTACGTTGAATGGCCCTGTTCAGGTCTCACAACTTTGTACCATGTCACTGGATTGTGTGATTACTTTGACAGGTGTCGGTCTTCAATCATCCAATCAGCTCCTGCTGATTGATGCTGATGGTTCATGTGGTGATGCAACCCCCTTGACGGCCACCTTTGATGGCTTGACCAACCCGAGTAGCCCTTCTTCTGGTGATGTGGCGGTGTATAACCTGGGCATTGCGCGCACCACATCGGATGGGCCAGGCAGCGGCTACAAGGTATGTTGGGGACACAACGGTGGCGTGGACTACTGGAACATCGAGCTTGGAACCTTCCAAATTGACGGACCAGACGCACAGGGCACACCAGTGACTTGCACCATGGGCTTGAGCTGCAGCATCCAGGTGACTGGCGTAAATCTGGCTGCTACCAACCAGATTGCTGTCACTGCACTATCTGACACTTGTGGGCAGGCAACCTTGAACTTGGCAGTGTTTCCAGGCGCTACCAATCCTGCCACCGCATCTGGAAGCTTTGATACTTTTGAGTTAGGAATTCCTACAGGTGGAGTGCCAGGTGACTACAAGGTTTGCTGGGGCTATTCACCAGCCATACACACGGATTACCATGTACCAGTTGTAACTCTGCGAATGGGTGGGCCTGTTGCAAGGGACACTGACTGCACTTTGAGTGAGCCTTGCAAGATTGACGTGGAAGGAGTGCGACTAGCACATACCAGCAAGCTCCTCTTCATTTCACAGGCCAGCAGTTGCGGAGATTCTTCTCCGACAGTCATCTCGTGGAGTGGCTTCAACAATCCCGCAAGCACCGACTTGTTGTCGCCACCGGCTGATCCTGGATATGTCTATGCCAACGGGGACCGTTACGACGGAGGGATTGGCTTTGCTGGAGTGCCATCGACTGCCTATAGGGTGTGCTGGGGCTTTGATCCCACAGGTGGATATCAGGACTACAAAGTGACTCTTGGGAACTTTGTTATGAACGGCCCCTTTCAAGGCATGTCTGTTGCATGCATCCTTGGAACCTCTTGCGTTGTGGAGCCTACAGGCGTGGGTTTGAATGACACTAACCAACTTCAAGTGGTGGCAGGTTCTGAGTTGTGTGGCTCTGCCAGCATTGAAGCAGCCACCATTCAGGGGCTCACCAGTCCAATATTGGTAGCAGATGGCAAGTTCACCCTGGGTGCTGCTGTGGTGGGTGGCAGCTATGCAGAATGTCGGGTCCCAAGCCCTGCAGCCAGTTGCATCGGGACGCACTATCGCTTGTGCTGGTCTCATGGCATCCACGATGGCGGAGCCAACTATGTCGTGGAGCTGGGGACTTTCAGCATGAGTGGGCCCTTTGGCACATATCGTGTGGACTGCACCATGGGATCCATTTGTAGCTTTACACTCTATGGCTCAAATCTGGCGCTCACCAACAGGGTCATGGTGCTAGAGGAAACCAGCACCTGTGGCGATGCTGCTCCAGTGAAAGCTTCCTTTGCCGGCTTACTGAACCCTGGACTCTTCAGCCAAATTGCGGTCGATGGTTCTTCTGCGACTGTGAGGCTTGGTAAATCTCATGCTGGTCGTCCTGGCTCTTTTAGACTCTGTTGGGGCTTCAATCCATTGGTCGATTCAGATTATGTGGTGGATGTCGGGATGTTCTATTTCCATGACGTGCCAGAGGGTTGTACTCCTGGAGCATTTGGGCCTACTTGCTCAGTCCCGCGTTGAGCCTAGTTGGAAGAAAGCCTGGCTCCGCAATGTCACAAAATGGACGTTAATGCTATCAACCTTTGGTGGCAGACTGCGTGCAAAGTCACCATGGGATTCCAATGAGAATCCAGTCATTCACCTTGTTAAGCAAGGCCAAGTGAAAGGCCAAAGGATGAGGGTTTCAAAAGTTCTTTGGACATTCTGGCAGAGATTGAGGGCTGGTAACATGAGCTAAAGACAAGTGGAGCATGTCTTCCAATAAGCCATGTAAGCGTCTGAGCTTTGCATAAAAGCGGGCAAGTCCTTGCTTTATTTGTGTCAAGTCTCTGATATCCAGCTGGCGCGAGTATAGTTGAAGCTGAGGAAGCTTTCACCACACGGGTTGCATGTACGCTTTTTGATTTGTCACAGTGACACTATCCGTTTGTCAGCCTTTTTTGGGCGCTTGATTGTCGTTTTGACCCGGCCCATTTTCCTTTCCAGTTGCGCCTTTGCCTCAGTGATGCAGAGTCTGTATCTTCATGGCTTGCGTTGGATGGGTTGCCTGTGATGCATGATATTCTGAATAATTAACAACTTGTGCCACATGCCACATATCTATTCTTTCTACCTATATCTGCATCCGCTTGGAAGCTGATTTCCGCCCTCGCAGCACCTGTAGCCACGCAGGAGTGAAATTGTTGTATATTACCTACTTACAGATCTTATTGGCACTCCTGTGTGCAAGTCGGATAGCCTTGAACATGATTGAACTGTGTCTCTAGCAGCCTCTGGCTTGGGGAGGGCAGCTGCGCCACCCAAGATGCAAAGTTCACTTGGTTCATGGCGAGCTTGGCGAAGAGTGCGGCCAAGGGTGCTGTGGCGCAGTTGGAGTCAGCTGCATCAAGAGCTTTGGAGCCCAGGAACGGGTCACTGGGCATCACTGGGCCTAAGTTTGCTGGAAGACTTGCAAAACTGTGAGCTTAGCGTATTTACCGTACTTATCGTGATTTACGATGATTCGCCTGCAAAATTCAAGCGCAAGTCTGAACAATCCTGAAGAATTTGATCCATGTATTCCATGAAGCTTCACGGTTCCTCACTAGGCAAATTCAGGTGGACTATCTTCAGGATGGAAAACTTTTTCTGTCTTTCATGTATTGCGACAGAATGGGATTGTTTTCATTGGTTACGCTCGGTTCTGCAGATTGTTTGGGCGCAGGCGCCTCTACTTTGACACCGCACCAGGTCGGCACCTCTGTGCCTCAAGTCGAGACTGGTTGCCATTAGTTACATTAGCTACTTACGTCGGTCTTCACTGCTCAAGTTGAATTCTTTGAGAGGATTTGCTGAAGCCACAGGATTGGATCGAAACGAATTCTTCACGTGCAGGAAGCAGCAACCTTTTGTCTCTCTTGCCAGCTTTCGGTCTTGTTGTTGCATACCTCATAGGCCTGGAGAAGATGCTTCAGCGAGAGCTAGAGGCATCCACCTCAGACTCGGCCCTAAACTAGTTTCAAGCGGGCGTGTGAGATCATGAAAGCAGTAAGAATCTTTGCATTATTTGCTTCGTCCAAACGTTAACACATATTAACACAACATAACTAACATAACAAAACGATACAAAACCTGTGAGTTCAGACGAGTTCAGACGCCCAGGCATTTCAGCTGGGTTCTGTGGCCTTGACCCCTCGTGCTGGGGAGCTCTGGCTGACAGCGCCAGAGTCCGCATTGTGGCGTGCAACACTGCAGAGTCGGGTCCTGTTGGGCGCTCGCTTGGGCAACTTGGCTTCCAAAATTCCTTCGAAATTTACATATATATTATATATCATATTAAAATTTGTATCTTACATATGTGTAATTGTTTATATGAGATTTATTTATTATTTGTCCTAGCTAGTATAACACCTTATTGCTATTATTATTATTGTTGTTGTTGTTGTTATCGCATACTCTACAACTCTATAACTATACAGATGCACGCTTTAAATACACGCTATCAGCCAGCATGATCTGGCAGGTTAACACGGTCTCAATGCATCACTTTTCACTTCGTGATTGCTTCGGGGTGCGTTCGTTTTCGGCCCAGGCGTTGGTGATGTCTTCCACGCTGGCTACGAGTCGACCTTGTCTAACTATGCAGCAAGTCTGATCAGAACCGCTTTTATCTAACCGCTGATCAGAACAGCTTGTTGGGTGCGGTGTTGCAGTGTTCTTGCAAGGGCTATATCTATCTATCTATCAATTTATCTATCTATCCATCCATCCATCTATCTATGTATGTATCTATCTATAAATATGCAAATGCATAAGTGAATCAATATATATATACAGCAAACACACACACAGATGGTATACGCACACGCACATACATACATACATACATACATACATATATATATATATATATTATAAATAAATAAATATAAGCATATATATATATATATACACATACATGTATACATACACACACACATATATATATACTATATGTATATAATTATATAACATGTCTGTACATGGGATAGGTGTTGAAAGTTCAACTGCTGCACAGTCCCAATAAAAGGATTCCGAGCCGCAGAGATGTGAGAGCCAAGGTCGCCGGGATACCTTGGCCCGATTATCTCTGGTTTCGAGCAGAGCCGCTTGGACCTCCGCTCCTTGGACAAACTTCGATGAACTCTGATGTTGCGCATCTTTTGTGAGTACTTTCGGTGTACCAGTAGTATATACTAGCTGTGGGTTTTGTCACCTCATGGATTACCGGCGGACTTCCCAAGCTGTTGGTACGCATTGGCCATGTGCACCTTGTGAGCTACGTGGGTGGCCCATGCTTTGATCAGGCTCAAGGTGCAAGCAGAAAAGTCCCGCCTTTACCATACAGATGTCATTGAACGTGGTGTTCTTAGTGGAGACTTGGCTGATAGATGGTCTGTGCTACCGAGAGCTGCCATGCGCTCCTGTTCTCAACAGCCGTGTCAAAGTTATGCTGTAGTTGGTCCTGCACACCGTCGGCTTTGGCAATGTGTCGTGACGTCGTGTCAGGATCCAAGCCATTTACCCAACCATCATTTATCGAGGCATCGAGAAGCGAAGGCAGTTTTTCATGGGTCTGAAGTTGCAGAACAAGGAGTTTGCGTCGCTTTCGAGCATCAACAATTGTACAAGAGTTGTCAAGAATTCAACGTTGGCATTTGATTTTATGACTGGAAAAGCGAAACATCAAATCACATTACTGTAATTTGGCTTTGAACCATGGTCAGGGCAGCAGCCAGTTGAAGAATTAACATTTTGTTGGCTAGGATGACGGGAACTTCTATGGCAGAAAGGAGAGGGTGACTTGCCAAGTGCGCATTGAAACGTTTTCTCCATTGGGAACTCCTGCAACGAGGCCCCACATCAAAACGGAAGATTGTTCTTCCATGTTACAACCAAGGAAGGTCCCCCATTCCCAACTGTGCACGTGAATCTGTCCCAGTCACTGGCCTGAAATTCTGGGTGTGAAGATGTATGCAGATTGCGACAGTCCAATGTGACACCAGCCAATGGCGCATCAGCAATGCCTTCATGCCAGCCTTCAAGATGACCGGATGACCTGCTCGCCGAGGAACGAATGCCACATGAGTGTGGCTGCGACTGCGGCACCACATGCCCGGGCGTACGAGTTGGCACTGGATGAGGGGCAGATGGAGCAGGAAGAGGAGTTTTGTGGAGTCTCAAAGCGGAGCTGAGCCAATCCTAGAGAAGTGCTTGGCAGGTGATGCATAGGTATGCAGATGCATACCCCGAGTTGTTTCAGAGGAGATGCGTGGAAGTCCTTGGCTGCTTGAGCCTGCACATGCGGCAGCCTGCGCTGGGGCCCTAGGTACGGATTACTGCTGTCATTGTGGCTGTTGCTGCTGCCAGATTTTATGCTTCTTGCTGTTGTTGATGCCATCGTGGCAACTAGGTGATGAGAGCCAATCTTTTCAGACACCTGGAAGAGAGTGCACGCTCCGGGCACCACAGTGGCACTCAGTGCGGCCGATTTTGTTTGAAAGGCCGGCACGGCAAGGCTGCTAATGCTGAGGATGTTTGGCTGAGCACGTTGAACTCCTTGGTCCGGTCCTTCAATTTGAGCATTTCACTCACAGACTCCAGACTTTGCCCAGTTTGTTCGCTGCCAAGGCAGAAGCTTTGCGTTTGGGACCCTTTCTGCGGCAAGGGCACCCTGCTCCTGGAAGCCTTGGGCATTGCGATGGGTGTGCCGCCTGCAAGCCCTGCTGCTTGGCGGCAAACCTGTGGTGTTTGCTGCAAACTTCATGAGACTGAAAGAAAGGGAAGTTATCCAGTGTAAGTTTTTTGGGGATCCTGAGGCCATGATGATGCCTTTCCAGCAGTTTCCGGAGTTCAATCAAATGCACTTCCAGGAGGCAGATCCTGCCTGCACGCTTGGTGTGGGTCTTTGAACGGATGCAAGGTAGATCTGGGGCACCCTGCCGCACGGTAGGTGCTCCGGTCCCTGCAGTTGACCCCGCACCCAGATGTTGGTGAGATGTTGCTTCTGGGAAGCCACGAAGAGCAACCACACCTGGTGCACCTCGCCAACCTCAACCTGCAGGCAGTGAATTGATCATGGTTGAATATGGTTGAATGAGATGAATGCTGGTTACCTGTGCCAGGCTTTTGCGCGGTCAGTGCCAAGACCAAGGGCACCTTCCATGTGGACCCAAGCGTGGGCACCACCAGGGTCCAATGAGGTTGGCGTCGGAAGGGCTGCCACCCCATTCCACTCACTTTTCCCAGCAGGGCTTTGATTTCCGAGTCGGGTTGCTTGCTTCTAAACTAGTTGGCTCAGTATATAGATGCGACATGATTTTTGGAGTTGGGCTCTCTGCGAGGCCCAGGACCTCACCACACTTGCCACACAGCGGCTGCCTTGTCCGACCGCGTTTCATTCGCTGCCTGCAGCATCCATTGCAGAGCGGATTCGTAGCCACCGTCCCCTGATCATTACCAGTGCATCTTGGCGCTGAAGAACTGGCAATAGACTCAATAGAACAGTCTCCCAGCTCATTCCAAAAACAAAGCATTTTTGTCATCACAGACTTTGCAGTTGTGTGGAGTTGAAAGATCTAGGTACCTTACGGCAAAAAAGCTGATGCACGGAAAGATCAGCGTGCCTACAAACGATTCGGCCAGCTGATTCGAAGCATGGACGTGCGCGACGTCTATTGTGTCTCTGCGAGGGAGGACAGTTGGACAGTCGTATATAAACGATTCAGGAAATCATCAATTGCAAAGGTTGGCATAACAAGTTGGCCAGGATTTCAAGAGGCTCACAGGCCTCGACTGGAGAGCAGAGCTGCGATTCTCAGCCTCAGGAGCAGGGGGCCACAGACCGTGGGCACATTGAGACAGTGGGATTCGCCCAAAGACACCAATCTCTCTGCAGAAGCTCTTGCGGCATATGCATATGGTGATATGTGATGATCATTGGGTCTTTTTGTAAGATTCCAAGCATTTCAGATAGTGACACTTTCGTGTTCTTTGCATGTCCCCTGGCACCTGCCTTGATGTGGCGGAAGGTGTGGCTTGAACTCCTGCGCTGGACAGGGCGTGAGGCTTCGGAACTACACTTCATTTCAAGCCAGCCTCGGGTGCGCAAGAAGCGCAAGGACTCTACGAGTACCCGCTCAAAAGCGGCCCTGCTTTTCAAACTTTTCTTCCCTGCCTTCTTACCGGATTGTTGCCTTGTGTTTTGTTTATTTTGTTTCTACGCAGGAGGTGCGGCCCAAGGACGAGGTTCCTGTGGTTGAGGAAACAGCTGCAGAGGATGCCGTGCGAACTGCAAACCACAGAAAGAAACCAAAAAGGCGGGCAGGTCATGAAGGTGTTATCAAGGTGTCACAGTTGGGAGCTTAAGGCCGTAGAACCGAATGTGATATTTTCGTTAGATTTTAGACCCTTTCCTTGGGCAGGTTGGCAGAAGCAACGCAAGAGGAGGCCACAATGATCCCTTGTGCAAGCGGATGCTAGTCATTCCTAATCGCCCGTGACGCTAGTCGGCTGCCAGGTGGCTGATGCAGCGGGTTCGGCCACGCAAAAAGTTGATTTCTCCTGCGCAGCATTCGGCTGAGTTGCTGCGGTTTGTTGTTGGCAGCCTTAAATGGATGAATACTGGCATCATCTGGCGACTCTGTTCAAGCCACCAAAGTCTAAAGCAAGGTTGCTTTGAACTGGATCTTGGGACATTCTGCCTGGGCCAACTACATATATGCAATTATAGGTAATTATTAGAACAATCAATCAATCAATTAATAAATAAAAATAAATCAATGTATATATATATACACAGAGGTACTTTCTATCGCATAAAGTATTGATACATCGTATAGTAAAGACAAGAATGGTCCCGCCAGTCTGTTTCAATCACCACTTCTCTCACAACCGCTGGCATTTGCGTTTCGCAATTTCGCAGTGCGCTTGAAGGAGATGCTTCGCCCAGAAAGTCTGCCACTTCTAAATGGCAAATACGAGCTACGCAGCTGCAAATCTGATCTGTTTTCGGCTTGCCTCCTTCGTGGTGTTACACAGAGCACGGTTTAGGTGAGCAGGACGCAGTCTTTTAGCACTGAAGATGGGCTGTTGCCACATGTTGCCACCAAGATGATCAAAACATAGAGGCTCACAGAAACTGAGGCATGACAATCCGTTCCTGGGCACAGGCATCTCATACCAGTTTGGCTTTTGGTTCAGGAAATTTTGTTTGAGTCTCAATGACATCGATTTGCACAGGAGCACATGTATCAAGGTGGCAAGTGCAGGATACGTCGGATACGTAGTCTGTTTGACAACGTCAGAGACTGCGAAGGTAGTGCTTATCGTCGCGCTCCTGGTGGAAGCTTCGTGTGTGATGTCTCGGTGGCTGAGAACCCCTGAGCCAAGATTTCATTCCCATGACACCTACGCCCTACGCTCTCAAAGCCAAGAACCAAGTTCCAAGTCCCACCAAGCCACCAAGTCTCGGATTTTATCCAGAAAGCCATGTCAAGCATTTCTTCATCAACTGTATTCCACATTTCAGCAAGAAACTGCCTCTAAGAGGTGAGTTCGGCTAGCGCAGTGTCACCAGTGCAGTTCTGGCCGCCTCTGAAGGAGGCATCAAAGAGCTCTGCGGCTCTGCGCGAAAACGTTTGCCACGCTTGGACTTTGCATCATTGTTGTAACCAGCGTTGGTCCAGTAAAGGATCAGTTTGACATTGGCCAGACCATCATGTTTCCGTTTTCGCTGTGAGTCTTTGGGTGACCACAGTATATCTTTAAATTAAAGCTTACTATGACTTCAATGCTCGTAGACTCACACTCAAGAAAAAAAGAGAGAGAGAGAGAGAGAGAGACTGCTCACCAATAGAAAGCCGCAACAGAGAGCGCAGCATCTAGTGGGCTCTTTTGATGCTTCGTGCAGTACCATGTGCTCCGTGCTGATCGTTGATGTTGAACCTTCCTGCCGCGGAGCTGTGAAGCGGCTCAGCCACTATACTCAGAACCATCCAAGGGTAACCTGAAGGGTACACCTTGAGGCATGGACCGTGCCGAAGCATTTTTCGAGTGACGGGATTGACCTTGGATTCCTTCCGGCTTTAAATTTCTCAGGCTATGGAGAAGCTCACAGCCGACATTGAGCAGATCAAGGCCTGTGTGACACCGTCCAAGATTTGGACACAATTTTCTGCATCAACCGGCCTCGATCCATCCATTGATCACTTCCAGGAGTTTGCTGCTGTGGATCTGCGAGGTTGGGGCCAGCTCTGTAAGGGTGACCTTGGCCCCAAGGGCCCCCAGAACTTATGGCTTGGCGCAGGCAATCGCACTTTCCTCCTTGTTGCAGGTGGGCCAGTGGGAGATTCAGTTGTTTCATTTTGCCTCAAGGGGGAATGTCCATGAATGTCCACGTTTTGCCCTGTCATAATGTAGCAATGTAGCCATTCTTGCAATGCTGGTAGTGACTAAGGTTTTCAAAGAGGTGGACGATTGATCACTTGTCTGTGGCCCAAGGGCTGCTATTTGCCTGTTATCATTTTCAGTGTGGATGAGACCAAAGAAACTATGCAGCCTATGGATGCATTGATCTAGCATTCTCAGGGCAAGTGGACACAGAGCTTGATGAGCTCGTGAGACGTATCACTTTGGCCAAAACGACCTGAAGCGACTATTATGGCTCATAGCACTGTTGCGGCATCGCAGTAGGAAACAAGTTGCTTAAGCTCAAGTCCTTGTGCCCTCGAATTTCATGAAGTGCCATTGCTTTGATGACTATCCATTCGGTTGAAAGAATGACATTTTCGCAGTGCATTAAGTGAAGTACGGGTAGCTGAAGGCATGTCTCGGCCAAGCCAAGTTGGAGTACCATGTGTCTAGCCAGCAGCACTCAGCAGCGTTTTCTATCAAACTGCCGTTTGCAATGATAGTGCAGGCACGAAAACCTCAACCATCCTTGGTTTACCTGACAAGATGTCTGCCATGCGGCGGTACGTGGGTCGGAATGCTACTTCTGCAGTCCTGGTGAGAACCTCAAAGCACCTTTGCCTTGCCCCATGGATCTTTGGATTTTCTGGCAGTCAGTCCAGCCCAACATAGTCAATACACTGCATGTCTTGTTCATCTTGTTCATCTTGTTGCTTTTGCCCAGTGCGACAAGCACTTTGCATTGTGTTTGGAAAGAGTAGTTTCTGTGAACATTTTGTGCCTTTCTGCTTCTTTTCTGCCTGCCCGGCGATGTGACAAACCTGCAGGGCTTAGCAGCCGTGCTCATTGGCAGACGTAGCGTAGTCCGTAGCCGAGCGTTCTCGGCAGAGCAATTCTTGCGTGAAACTGCTCCACCGCTGGATGGCCTATCGTACAAGGGCCAGGGGGGCCGGGTGACTGAGCTCAAGAATCCTATATATCCCTATCAACATGGGCCCAACATGGCAGCCTCTTCACAAACAGTTGCTTTACTTTTGGAATTAGCTTGCTTTGTCAGCTCGTTTCCATTCTACTTGGATTTGCTGTCTTTGATCATCTTTGATCTTTCAACATGGGCAGAAACGCAAAGGAGCGCAGCGGCTGGTGTCGAACATGCAGGCATTTTGTGACCATGAAACTGTTCGGAAACACTGCCCTAGGTGGGTATCTTTGGCGGCTCTGGGGACTACACTGGAGCGCCCTACTATGCAGGACATCTGCACGCGGGTGCAGAAAAGTGAATTCGACCTGTGGAATATTCGCACTTCGACACGGTATGACGTGGTGGATCATGACGGCGGACAATGGGCCACGTATAGTCGTACAAGACACAAGCCTGTTTCTTAATGTTTCTTATATATTTACCTATGCTGTGACCAAGTTTCATTCTTTACTCGCAGTTCTGTGCAGGAATGGCTGCCTTGAGAACTGGAGCTGAGCTGGTGTATGTTTTTACAGCTGAAGAAGCAGCTCTTCCCATCAAATCCTACAGCCCAGAGCTCATGGTGACGCCTGTCTACAGCCTGAATCTTAAGCCTGCAAGTGAGATGCTGCAGTCATTCCCACTAAAGTTGTGGTGTCGCGTGGTGCTATGGACCAAGGTGCTAAGAGCATAGACAGCGTCGACAAATCGCATGCTTTGGTCCCTCGGTGCATCAGCGGTTTGCGATTTGTGTGTTTCCAGTGCTTGCAGCCTGAGCTGGTTGCCAACTGTCAAGGACTGCCCAATGGATGTGTTCGATTTCACACTTCCAAATTGAACATGCTTGAAACATATTGAACAATGGCGTGCAGTTTTCTGCATCTCTCTCTCTCTCTGTCATACCCACCCTCTCACATATGTATACTTAATAATATCAATTAATGTCACACACACACACACCCGCACGCACACACACACACAAGCCCCTTTGCCGCCACGAGTGCGGCGCTCGAGTGTTCTCACGAGAACCTTAGGTTGTCATCCCGCGTTGTCTCGATTCTCTCTTTTTCGGATTTGTGCCATTGATCGGCGGCCTGAATCGCTGCGTTGCTGTTTTTCACTTGAGATTTCATTTTCTGATATATCCATCCTGGCTCCAGCATTGAATTGTGAATTTCTTGATCATTTTGATTTCTTGATTTGCTGGTGACGTTGCAGTCACCGTGTTGACAGAGGGCACCACGACGATAACTGCACGACAACTGGGGCACCTTCTCTGGTTTGTGATTTGCACCTTTCAGGGACAGCCATTCTGGGATCATCGATCTGGCAGGAACGCTTCTCTGACCTCTGAAATCAACGAATTTTTTTGTGCGCAATTGGACCAATTTGACAAGCTACTTTTTCCTGCTGCTCACTTCCAATATCCAGTTGCACCGCTATTCTGGATACATCGACCTGGGGGACAGCAGCAACATTTGCAATCATCGGCACACTGCGGGATTGGCTCCGACTATCAACTGCCTGGCCAGCCGGTGATTTGCAGGGAGTTTTTTGACGGGACACCTATTTTCAGGAACAGTTTGAGTTTTCCTTGTGTTTTTGAGGGCCGCGATCCACTGACACACTGCGGGATTGGCTCCGATTTTCTGTCTGGCCTGTCAGTGGATTGCTTTGGCTTTGGATACAACAGACAAACGACCTGGTGGACCCTGACACAACAGTTTTTGCTTTGGAATCCTGAGCCCACCACAGATTACGATTGGGGTACACGGTCAAACTGCAGGGTTGGCTCCTGTTTTACACTGACTGGCCTGACTGTGTACTCCCCTGAAGCTCTGGCGCTTGACACTGGGCTCCGTTTTACAAGGTGGACTTTTCCTTTGTATTGGACTCCATTGATCTGGCAGCTGGTGCGCAACTCCTGGTACATACAACATCCTCTGACACACTGCGGGATTGGCTCCGATCAGCTGGCTGGCCTGTCAGAGGATTGCAATTCTTTATTCTTTCAACTGGTCATTTTCATTGGACAAATTCAGCTACTGAGGCTTAGCAACATTGGAGGCGCAACTGAATACATTTTGGGTTCACAGTCGCACTGCAGGGTTGGCTCCTGTCCCTTACTGACTGGCCTGACTGTGAACCTGGCTGGAAACATAGGGGTGGGCTCCCTTGCTGATAGTCCCATACTGTCAGGTTGGTATTCACTGGCCTCTGCACAACACAACGCTGCTTCAATCAGAGCAGACAGACTGGAGGCCAACATACAGACAATCACTGACAGCAATTCTTGGGATACGCGTTCCTTGACATTCTGCAGGGTTGGCTCCTGTTCACTGTCTGGCCTGTCAAGGACGCGCGCACAGCACGGGCACAATACACTGCACTCACAAGTTTTGGATTTGGCAGCAGACACACTCATCTATTTTTGGTGGTGGCCTCCTTTGATTTGGCTAGTTTTGATTCAGTGGTTTTTTACAAGTAGCGCATTGGCACCGTTGTTTCAATTCATTTATTTTTGCTGGGGACTGTCCATTGCATACATTGCTTTGGTGGATACTGGAACCGCGGCGACTTTGATTTGTTTGATTGAAGGGTTGATACTTCTGCTGGCTAAAGACGCCCTTGAGTACAACCTGCGCGGTCACTGCATTTGGCACATTTTTGATTTTCCTTTTCGCGGGATTGACAACCTGATCAGATCGAGACAACTGCCTCGACGCGGCAAGCCTGGTCCCAAATCCAGGCCTGGTGCTACCCATTGGAAAAAGACGTTTAGCTTCCTGCTTTGTGTCTTCCTACTTTTCATGGAATACCCGATGCAGCACCAGTGGGGTGAGGGTAGTGATTCAGCCATGGGAATCACTGAAGTTCCACATGCGTGCACACAAACACCACTGATGGGAACAAAGCGACATGGCATGCAGCCAACATTGTGCATTAGCACATCAGCGGGGCGAGAAACCACAAATTTGGGAAACAACAAAGTAATCAAACGAAGCATCAGACGAGCCTATCGGCGCTCTTTGCACTCTGGCTTTGCATGGTACAGAGGTAAACATTACAGTGCTGATGAATTTGCCAAGATGGGCTGCGCCTTGCCTGAGGCACCAGTGACCAGGGGGAAGCTCACCATGTCCCAACGACAGGATTGGCAGAGGTGCAACAGTCTTCATTCAGCCAAAAAGAGACTCACTATGTGGCAGTGGAATTGTGGAGGCATTAGTGCATCCAGATTGGATGAGGTCAAAGCATGGCTTGTCATGAGCAGAATAGACATTGCGGTGCTGCTGGAGACGAGACTCACCTTTGATTCTAATCATTCTGACACTCACTGGCATATTTTGCACTCGGGAGAAGGAGCTCACAGAGGAAAGGGTATCATGTTTTTGGTGGCCAAGTCTCTCTGCAAAGCTACTGACATCGCATGGCAATTTCACGACAGTGGCAGGTTGGTGCACTTGCGTTTGAATGTGGGCCCACGTCCAATGGATGTTGTTGCTTGCTACCAGCATGCATATCAATCATCTCCGGCGTGCCTGAAAGCGCGTGAACAATGGTGGAACCTTTTGGAATCTGTTCTCACAAACATTCCTAATCGACATGGCTTAGCAGTGTTGGGCGACTTTAACTGCTCTGTCTCTGCCTCACGAGGACTGGTAGGCACCTCCAACTTTCAGTGGCAGGGGAAGCCATGCACAGGTACTGTCCATTCTGACCAATCCAGATTTTTACAACTACTCAGACAGTTTGCCTTGGTAGTTTTAAACTCATGGTCAGCCCAAGATGGGCCAACGTACGTGCATGGGGATGCGGCAAGCAGGATTGACCACTTTTGTGTCCGACAATGTTTTGCTGATGGCGAGGCTAGGCGCGTGACACTTTTATGGGAATCTCCGTTTCTGCAACAGACGAAAGTAGGCCATGCTCCTATGCTTTGCTCAATTGCCCAACATTGGATCCCGCAATTTGCTCGATCCAGAATTCAGCGGGTCACCATGCAGCAACGCCAAGAGAGCCGCCTTGCCTATATTGAGCAAACTCCCTGTTGGCAAGCATTTACTGTATGCACACAGCACCAACTGATGCAGATCTTTGCCACGGACACTGCTGGAGCTGATGAGGTCATTGACACCATGCATCACCAGATCATGCACACGTTCATAGAGCACTTTCCTTCTGGTCAGACAAATCGCACAGCACCACCCTGGACCACGGCGCTGCCGATCATTCTGAACAAATGGGAACATCGCAGACGCATGCTCAGGCCTGGATTGGGCACAGTCCGCAATGTTTTCAAAACATGGTTTCATCAAACAAAGTATTGTAGGCTGCGACGTGCACACAACAAACAGGCCAAACAGATCAGACAATCACAGTTTAGAGAAGTGGTCAAGACAGCTGCTGAGGCTGCGGCACGCCATGCCACTCACAAACTCTTTAGCCTGATTAATCGTTTTGCACCAAAACAGCCTAGGAAACAGATTCAGTTGAGAAACCATGCTGGACACATGGCTAGCCCTATTGAAAGTGCGGCCATCATGAATCGATACATTGCACAGACATGGGCTGGACCTACCACTTTGGACTTGCAGTTTGATCAGGCCCCGGGAGTGCCTTTTGATGTGAGACAGTTGGCTCAGGCGTTGAGAATGATTCCATGCACCAAAGCCACAGCAAAACCGTTTGCTCCTGGCGTAGTCTGGCACCAACATGCTGATTTCTTGGCTCCACTTTTGCATGAGAAATTATGTATTTGGTGGGCATGTAATCCTCCCCACATACCCTGTTCATGGAAAAATGGCTGGATATTCATGATTCCGAAACCGTCCAAGCCTCCTGTTTCTCCATGTAACTTGAGGCCGCTGGCCCTCCAAGAACCGGTAGGTAAGGCCATCATAGGACTTCTCATTCATTTAGCCATGAAAGAGGCCAGTCCATGCATGGTTCATTTGCCACTTTGGGCTTATCTTGAGCACAGATCGACACTTGATGCCATCAGAAGGGTCAGTCTACATTGTGCACAGGTGCGGCAATTAATTAGATCACAGAAATCGACGCCTCACTCCAGGGTTCACCGAAACAATTGTTCCAATTTTTACGGGGGCATTCAGGTCTGCCTGGACCTGCAACGGGCGTTTGATGCAGTTGATCGCCGTAAATTATTTGCCAAACTTTACACCCTTCAGATCAGTCCTTCAATCATTCAGCTCCTGGCTTGCTGGCATGAAAACACTTTTTTCACTTTTTATCATGTTGATCATGGGGAAGTAACGGAATCCATCCAAGTGGGTAAGGGAGTGAGACAAGGCTGCAAAGCAGCCCCAGGCTTGTGGTCCTTCTTCTTAGTCATCTTCCTGCAAGAATTGATGGCATGGGTTCCCCTAACCTGGATTCAAAATTGCCTGACAATTTACGCAGACGATTTTCACATATGCATGACATATACCACGATGGCTGAGCTGCAACACTTCCAATCCACATTGGGCATCCTGCTTTCCACTTTGGCCTCCATGGATATGCAAGTGAATCCTGGGAAATCAGTGGCACTGCTGGAAATGCGAGGAACGCAAAGTCGAGCGGCCAGACGACACTTTGTGCGACGTTTTCATGATGGTGAAAAATTGATAGTACCGGTGCCTGGCCATGACGATGCCTACATACCCATCCAGACATCAACCAAATATTTGGGGGTGATCATTTCCTATCACAACTTCGAGGATGCAAGCTTGAAGCACAGATTGCAATTGATGCAGGTTGGTTTTCGACGTCTAAACAGGTGGCTCACTGGGAAACACAGCTTGTCCATTGCACAAAGGTTTCAGATTTGGCGCACTTGCATTTTTCCCATTTTCAGCTATGGAGTTTTTGCGACAGGAATGACACAGACAGGCATCACAAAGGCTATGACACAGATGACTATCATGTTGAGACGCATCATCCATGATCACGCTTATTTGACAAGACGCACAAACAGTGCAGCACTGGCATCACGCAATATCCCAACTCCGGCGCGACTGCTACATGGCATTGCAGCTGGACTATTGAGGTCACATGCAACACGGGCTGAATTGTTGCCACCACATGACCTGACGCTGACCATTACATGGGACCACTTGCCTGAACTTTTGCACAGATTGCATCAACTGCAGGCCACTGAATCCTTGGAGCAACAGCATCCTACCTTGGAGGCTGGATTCGACACTCCTTTTTTTCAGTGTGCACAATGTGAATTTTGTACGGCAAGTGTCAGCGCTTTCAGAGGCCACTGCACTACACATCATCAACACACGATGTATCGCACACAACATGTTCAACCTGAAGTTTTTTCAACGGGGGGGCTCCCAACATGCCAATATTGCCAAAAGACCTCCACAACTTGGAGACTCTTTCACATCCACATTGAACGTGGATGCCAGGCTTTGTTGACGGGCCCTTCACCTTTCACGGGGAACCGTGGAGACACAGGTTCAACCTTGAGCAGACTCACAGGCATGACCACTGAGTTGGCCCATGCAGCTGCTAGAGGCCTTAGACTGATCACTGAAGAGGAGTTGCACAACCTCAAACAGCAGACGTTTGGGCCTCGATTATTGCAGCTGGTACAAGATCGTGAATGGGATCGACTGCCCAGAGATCAAGAAGCGTGCAGATATCTTGCCACACAATGCATCATTTGCGCATTTCACTTCTCCAGACCCCAGGAGCTTCATCAGCACTACAGGCTGAGACATCCTGAACTGTGGGAGTATGCACCTCAGAAGGCCATTCAGTTGACCAACATCTTCAGCGATGAAGTCCCTTGTAGTTGTTGCGGAGCCTTGTTTTTGACTCACACATGCCCCACATGGTCACAAGTGGCAGTGCTGTTGGTCAATGGAGCTGGCAATGATGACATGGAAGTTGGCCCAGTTGTTGAAGCCAGACAAAGGTGTGAACTTTGTTTGGAGTGGTTTTCCACTGCAGCGGAACTGGTGCAACACTTACAAAATACACATGGACTGCAAGGGCTCAGCTACAATGAAAGCAGAGATTCATTGGACAACACCACGGCTTGCAGCCACTGTGGCATTCTGTTCATGTCAATGTCTGGACTTAAGTCACACATAGTGCAGGGCAGATGTGATTTCTTCAACCCTCAGGCGACAGCAGAAACGCAACCTGTGGACGATCAATGGCGTATGGCCTGCTTGGAAGGCAAGCTACACGAAGTACTGCAACAGCCGGCCAATCGACTCAGATTGACTGTGACCTGCCAGGCTTGTGGCAAGGGCTGTCGTCGGGCAGCTGACCTTGCATTGCATCTACAGTCTTGCCATGCCAGATTGTGGCGCCAGGCACGCAGACTGACCATGCTTTTGGTTGAAATCCTCTACCCCAAACAATGCTATTGCAACCCGGCCACTGGCACCAAACGCAATGGCCACATTTGCCTGCCATTCAGGCAACTTGCAATGAGCTTCCATCGACTGGGCAAAGAGCCTTTTGCACCTATGCTGATCACAGATCCATTGCTGAAGGCCATTCTGTCAGATCTGCTCACACGAGCTGACAAGTACAAGATTGAACAAGTCTTAGTACATCGTCAATTTGAAGCAATGTGGCAGGACCTGGAGATTTTGCAGAGCTTGCGGCGTCAATGCATTTTTTGTGGGACTCGATGCACTACGGCAGACTTGGCCCTCCATCTACGTGAGGAGCACTGCTGCAGCCATGAGATGTTTTTGTTTTACATGGAACAATTGCTACCCACCATTCATGCACTTGATCCAGCTGGCTACCAATGCACACTCTGCCAACAGATCTTCAACTTGCCTGTGCACTTGCAGCCGGATGAACCTTTGGCTGACAGGGTCCATTTAGCCCTCTCACATCTTAGGGGGAACTGCCCGTGCCTGATCCAGATTGCCCTGCTCTTTGGTTCCATCTTGAATGGAAGCCCCTTGTCCCATGGAGCAACAAGACCTCACAGTGTCGGCACAGGTGATGGAGGCATTCAGCAGTTTGGCACCGTTATTCCAGGACAAGACGCTTCAGCTGACTCCCAATCCCAGAAAGGTCAAGGTCCGACGACGGGACGCCAACGCACCCCAAGAAGAGGACAAGCCAATGCCAGACAGCGCACTGACTCAACAACAGCGCCTGCTGTCAACACTGGTTCAGCTTGTGGTCAGACAAGATCAAGAGCTTCAATGTCTTCGCAAAATGGATCAATTCATACTTTTTTTGGGCCAAGAACCCACGGGTGCACTTCACATCCTGTTACAGGAGACAGTCCAATGGAAGAAGCAGATGGAGACATCCAAATCCATGACTCTGCCACTGAGACAGCACCTGATGATCACCCTGCTGAATCTCCTTCACACGAGAGCAGGGAAGGTGGTGGAATGTCAGGAGACGGACCCGCTGTACTCCATGTCCCTGCAGAAAGGAGTGATCTTGGCAGATCGGAGCTTCCCTTTTCATCGTTGGGACCCGCAGCAGCAGAAGGTGGTTCTGGACAAGAAACAGCCTGTGAGCGCACAGAAAATGAAGCAGCACCTGGAGGAACTCCAGGACATGGTGCAGGACAAGGAGCTCATTGTTCGATTTCATGCCCTACGACCCATGTCCAATCAGCCCAATCAGCCAGTGCCATGGAGGCTCCAGATTCATCTCCGGAGCGACAGGCCCTACGAGCTCTTGTGGCAACTGGCGCACAGCTCGGTGTGGATGACAGTGGGAGCCACGATGAAACCACACAGTCAGGGACAATCCCCGCTGGCGACCACGTTGCAGAACATGATGCAACCCAAAGGAAGGGGCAAGGGCAAGACACGAGCATCAGAGCTGAAACAGGAGGCATGACTTCAGAAGTGCACATTGCACTGCACGAGCGGCTTGTCAAGAGCATGACTGGATTGCGCATGGCCAATGATAGAAATTGGTGCTATGGCAACAGCGTGGTCCACTGCATGCTATGGACTCTTTTGTGCCTGCAGAACCCAACACCAACGCAATGGGGACTGCAGTTTGAAGCCTTGATTGATTTCATCACACGCCATGCAACTCAACTGGCAGTTTTGAAAGATATTTCCTGGTTTCAACAAGTTCTGACAAATTGGGGTCAGTCACAGGGCCAAAGAGACAGTGCTGAATGTGCGCAACGTCTACTGGCCGTGTTAGGGGTGCCGGCATTTGATATGCGCTGGGAAAGAAGGCTTATTGCTGATGGAACAGTGCAAACTCTGGATCATAGCATGGACAGCACACCCATTCACTTGACCATTACCTCACAGATGCATTCATGTGGCCATTGCAACATTTCAGATTTGATTGCAACCTGGACCCAGGAGCACTCCATGCGCACAGCGCTCCTGGCAGCTCCTCCGTGCCTCTGTGTGAGTGTGGAGCGCTTTCTTCAGACTGAAGATGATGCACTTATCAGAAGCATGTGTTCCATTGATCTTGACACGGAAGCCAGTGTTCCTGTTTTCAAGGGCTCAGGCATTGAGATTGCACATGAGGGGTATATTCCGATTGCTGGAGTTGCGCACTTTGGACTGGATTGTGCTGGTCATTGCAGGGCCATTCTCAAGATGCAACCAGGGCTGGTCAACCAGACACAGCCGGCTACATGGCTCCTCTCCGAAGATGCCCAACGATTGGAGCCAGCATGGAAAATTCCAAGTGATTTTGCCACCAACTTGACGGTGATTTGGTTGGTGCGGACAGACTGTTTGCATCTCCCTGCATTTGCACAAGCTGCTGCGCGTAGCCACACAGACTTGGAGGATGACACATCACCTACATTGATGACTCCAACGCCTGATTCGGCACTGCTCAGCCTGCTCCAAGCTCAACCTGGCATCACTATGGATCATATGCACAATGAAGCCTCAGGATGACAGCTCAGGATACATCTCCTCATTTCTCCATTTGGTTTTTTCCCATTTTGGTTTCAGAGCCTTAAAGATTCCGTGTATGGAACCAACGTCACAAGCAACACGTTGAAAGGCTGGCACAGACCTTAGAGCAGATGCAAAAAGGCGTGTAGGGAAAAAAACACACACGCACACCCACACCCACACCCACACCCACACCCACACCCACACGCACACGCACACGCACACGCACACGCACACGCACACGCACACGCACACGCACACGCACACGCACACGCATATATATATATGTATATTATACAATATAGATAATATCATATCATGTATCATATCAATATTACTATCAACATTAGCATCAATATCTCAATATCAATATCAATCAATCAACCGACCCATATATATATATTATATATTATATTTATCTTATCTCTCTCTTTCTCTACATGCACACCCAAAATACACATTTCTGTACCAATTTTCTTTCCACTTTCCCGTTTTAGGCCCAGAAGGTGAAGTCCATGCTGCATCGACTGCACGCCTTGGTGCTGGGCTGTGGCCTCGGCAAAGACGACCAGGTGCTGCAGGCTGCCTTGGACATCTGCCAGGCCGCCGCTGGACAAGGTGCTCCTTATGGGTGCCCATATGGGATCCCATTGGATCCGGGGAAAATGGGCCCCAAATGGTGGTTAATGGTGGTTCATGGTGGTTAATGGTTAAGTGAAAAGTGGTTCATGCTGGTTAATGATGGTTAATGTGTGGTTAATGGGATATTGAATGGGTATCCTCTGGTAATCCAAGGTGGCAATGGAAAATCCACCATTTACAGATGATTTTCGCATTAAACGCTTTGCATAGGGAATTTTCCAGTGCCACGTTTGATTACCAGAGAGTAAGCATTTTGATTGGGAGATGATGATCAACGATTTTTTGGCCCTAATTGCATTTTTTCTAACCAACATGATATATCATATAAATCATTGTAAAATTTGATGAGGCTATTCTTGTAAGCAATGGATACAAAAGGAAGGAAGGAAGGCAGGAAGGAAGGCAGGAAGGAAGGAAGAAAGGAAGGAAGGAAGTAAAAGAAGTAAAAGAAGTAAAAGAAGTAAAAGAAGTAAAAGAAGTAATTTGGCATGGACATATATAGATCGATAAATCATGATTTTGTCAACAGAGGCGTAGATGCATATAAAACCGACGGAATGTGTTTCAGGCTTGCCTGTGGTTCTGGATGCAGACGGCTTAGAGATGGCCATTCGCTGGCCGGAAGCGCTGCAGGGAATGGACCGGACCCTACTGACGCCGAATGCCAATGAGTTTCGGCGCCTCTGTGAGGCAACAGGCATTCAAGGCCCTTGGGACTTGGGATGATGGGGTGGTTGGATCCTTGGTACCAGTACGCCAGTACGCAATACCGCGATACCTCTCTGGTAGTTGGGCTCTTGAGTCTTTCTGCAAATTTAATTGAAACAGTCTCCGCAACACGTGGTCGTTCACAGCCCGGATTAAAACACTGCCCTGGTCGATTCATCGGGGGGGTTATGCCCAAATAGTGATAATCTGCTTCTAAAATGGCATCGAATTAAACAGCTCAGGGGTTGCAATCCGGCAGGTGAAGGTCATAGCCAGCTGGTGAAGCTTTGCTCCTCGGCCAATTGTGGATCAGATCCTACGACGCATGACGCTAGGTTCTGTCAAGGTGATGGAACCACCAGACCTCTATCGTGACTGTTAGTGACTGGTTGCGGTGATTTGTTTATCATTGCTGAGCAGTTTTGGACATTCATGCATGCTTGAAGCCTTGAATGCATCTTGTCCCTTGATCATCCTCGTTGATTGGTTAGTAGGGAAACCCTGAGAGAACCCGTTGAAAAACAGTTCTTCCTTCACCGTTATCTGTAGTCACTGGGTGCCCCAATCCTTATTGCTGGCGTGTCGGGTGATTCAAGGTGAAAAGCTTGATGGTCCGGCAGTGCTGTTGAAAGGACCCGAGGAGCGTTGAGGAAGTCTCCATAAATGATCGCCATGCCACTTCGAGGCAAATGGTTCAATTTGAATCATCCGTATGCTGGTGCAGGGGCAGAAAGACAGTTTCGTTTTGATTCCTCTGGATTCTTAGCCATGAGCCCGCAGGATTTAGTCGCAGATGCTTCTGGCAGGGTGGAGTGTTGCTCCGTGCAAGGCACTCCTCGGCGGAGCGGAGGCGGGGGTGGATATCAGCCATCGAATGCCAGGATTGGACAGGTTCCAAATTCAATCCTGGGCAGACAACATGCTGTGATATGCTTTGCTTGTTCTCTCGAAATGCTTGAAGTTGCAAGGCTATGGGGATGTGCTAGCCGGAACACTCGGGACACTACTGGCATGGTCAAGGAACAAGGTCGTGGAAGGCGGGCCTCTTTGGTGAAAGCGAGCCGGCTCGTAATCTTCCGTTCCCACTGCAAGACATGCGGGCTTGGATTCTAGGGTTTAGCTAGAAGTTAAAGGCAAGTCCATGATTTGAATTGGAGACATCCATCCAGATCCATCTAAATCCCATGCTCCTTTCTGAAGCGCCCGTTGGCAGTTTGCAGGTGACTTGCCTATGGTAGCTGCTGGTTGTGCTGCCTGCGAACTGGTTCGCTGCAGTTGCCGTGCGGCCTTTGCTAGAAAAGCTAGGGCGATGACGGCGCCAGACGTTTTAGCCCCTTGGTTGGTCTCGAATGACAGACCGAAGTAGTCTTGGGATTTCTGATATCAGAATCAGAAACCTCTCAATCGCAGCCGAGGACGAGATTGGGCCTGTGTTTGAAGAGCTTTGCCCGTGTGGCCTTTGACATTTTCTCAGCCCGCAATGTGCCAGAGGAGACTAAAAGAGTGCCAGACCTTGTGAAGGCCCTGTTAGTCCCAAAGTGCTCACAAACTGTTAAAGAGACCTCATTATATAGCCAATACTAGTCACAGGCTGTCGGAGATTGAACTAGCATGTGGGGCACGTCCTTGACACCGGTACTAAGTAGTACATGGTAGTACTATCCACAAAGATAACTGTTCAACCAGGACCTTTTGGGAACGATCTGTCACTCAACTACTTGTTACTTGTTGTGAGCGCTTGATGGAACCTTGATCTCATAAGAGCTGTTGGCCTTGAAGGAATTTTTGAGAAGCATTGAACAGCGGTCGGATACGATGCAAGCATGATTCATGCTTGCAACAAGAGCAGGTCCAAGAATTTGATTTGCGGCACTGAGTTGATAGCTATGACAAGTCAAAAGACAGGGACAAACATTCCATGACCATGGTATCCATGTGTGATAGATATCTGACTGCGAGAAATCTGATTGTCAGGCAGTGCAGGTTCGCGGCATTATAAATTTGGATCCAGTCTGCAAGAGGGTCGAATCATCATGGCCACTTAGCTTCGCGATGGAGCCGACCACCTGTGGCATTTGCGAGACGCCCCTCAATCCTCAGAGATGGGCACAGGCCAAGAGTGATCAGTGATCGATGTCAAGCTCCAGTGGCTCCGGTGGATGCAGTGTGTTTGAACCCTGCGACGCTGCGAGGCCACTGTTCCTCAATGTCGTCATGGTTACCACTTGATACTTTGCTGACATGGCATGACATAGCCGGCCCTGCCAGAACTTGGTAGTCTGGTAGTCCCGAGCACCTTAAGAAACAATTGAATTTGACAGTTGTTGGTACAGCTTCAACCCCCACCACGTCCGCCCATAGCCTCTATCCTTGGAGACGGCCACCAGATCATGGCCGATGAAACACCCAGGAATTGCATGCTTGACAAGGCGCAGACTGTTGCGTCAGACTTCAAGTGTAAAACATGTGAAGAGCACTTTGGCCGCATTGGGTTTGGAGATCGGTGTTGAGTCCTGACTCAGCAACTTCTTGACCGCAGTATTTTTGTATTTTGATTTCTTCATCAGCACGGCGGATAAGGTTTAGATCCTCCCGCAGCGATGGGTTACAACTACTGCTGGATGAGTGCAGTGAAGAACTGCACAAGCGAAATCCGACCGATATTGAGCTGCTGGCCTCGAAGTCTTGCTGATGACATGATTTGGTTTCCAGATGTTTCCTGTTTCGTCGTCCAATGCAACGCGCCGCATTTTCATCTCAAACAACCCACAACATACAGGTGCACATATTTTTGAATTCATGCTTGAAGTCGGTTTCGGCTTATGCCGCCGTGTTGTAACTCTAAAAAATATATAACACTCTGAGGAGAGGATTCATGACCCTTCAATCATCAGAAACTCAATAGGACAAGGTTTTAAACGAGCTTCGTCGGTCACCTTTTCTTGTCGCTCTGTCTCTTATCGAGACCCAAAGACAAGGTTCCAAGTAACCCACAAGATCCGTTTCATTCCCTTTCAAATGTGTTCACCGGAGACTTGACTCCAATTAATTACAACCAGGTATTTGCTCTTTGCTCATACCAAAAAAAGGCCTGGCACAAATCACAAATAAATTTGAGCCACCGCTTATATATCAACAAGTTAAAGAACAGCGTACTGTTTTGATGTCAATGTAGCTGAGAGGTCCTTAATTTTGGAGGCTTCACCTTTCCCGTCAATGTGGCTGGAGTTTCGCGCATGCTCTTGACACGATACTGGAGCCTGTGACAAACTACCTGAGTTGATGCGGGAAGTAATATCCTAGGTTTCAGATTCTGTAGCAAGCACACTTACATACATTTATCATAAACAAAAAAATAGCTTTAACAGCTTCAGGTGGCATGTTTTTAACCAACAGCATTTGCATAAGCATATAATTTATTGAAGATTCTTTGAAGATTATGTAGGGCCTCCTTTACATTTTCATCTCCGGGAAGGTGGAAATCAAATTTCCACAAGTGATGCCGCCACTGAGTGCCTCAGGTTCTCCCGTGCCGAAGAGATCAAAACTGGGCGGCTCATGTTGCCCATACGGAAGATTCCCAGCTGCATCCTTTCCATGCGAGGCGCGATCGAACATTATCTAACATGATCTAACAGCAACTCAGCAACCTCATGTAACCATGATGTAACCATGGGACCATGGTGGAGATCGTCATCTTGCAGTGTACAGTTAGAGACACACTTGCTCAGAACTGTCGTATGGGAATTCGGTTGTGGAGTGCATCTTACGTGCAAAAACACCAACAATTAAATGACAAGATGAATATATACATATATGTATATATGTATATATATATATGTATATAAATGGCCGTATAATCACAGTAGACGTTGGCCATATAAAACAACAGCGATAACATATATATGTTCTCCCCCAGCTGCGACTTATATGCGCCCAGGGGCGGGACTATTTTATTGTGTATGCAGGTACAGGAATGTGAGTCCACATTCCCTTCCGGCTGAATCCCATAGCTTCGTTGGCATGGCTAGGGAAACAGCTGCCATGCCCCCTGCAACCTAATGAAGTTTTACATCTCTACAGATGGTACGCACAGACACACGCCCCGCAATAGCGGGGCGGATGAAATGGAAACGAAAGTGAGATGACAATGAAAATGAGATGACAGCTGCTTAACCGGGACACGAGACGGGGAACGCCAAAGAAGAAAGGAAAAAGGAGGGAACACCAACACCAACACACCTAGCCCAGAGCGGGCAGACCCTGACAGGGACGGACGACGGACCAAACACCGACCAGAGGAGGGGGGGGCGGACAGAAGCGCCTGACACAACCTACAAGGCGAGAGCCAAACCTACCTCGGCACACGAAGGACCCAAACCTGACCTAACACGGGAGCACACATGAGATAGGGGACCAATGGGGGCCTGGCCTAGCTAAAAACAAAGTGATGCATCCAACAACTAGTGCAAAGGATCGTGACCAGGCTCAAAGGCCTTCGGCTGGCAGGTTAACCCCATAGACGGCTGTCTGTAGTCCCCAGCTGAATTACGTGCACAACTGAGCCTCACCAGAGTAACCAAAAAAAGAAAGTGACCACACCTGGAAGCATGTCCTGAAGCCTAAACTTGGTCATGTGACATGATGCGATTTGTCATGTTCCGTGCTCTCATGAGCAGTCTCTCGAGCATCACGGAAAAAAGGAGGTTTTCATTGCTCATCGTATTGACGGAGCAGTGTCCCTTCCTACAGTTCTCTCCAAGACAAAAGGTGGGTCCCCAGTACAGCGGGCCGCTGTTCAACACCACGACGTGCGACAGGTGAAACCATGAAAAAGGGCCAACTGTTTCACTTTACTTAAGCGAATTACTAGGTTGAAAAATGTAAATTCAGAGGTCAGGTCGGAGGATCGAAATTCTTACCTAGAAAGGTATTCCCCAAAGGGTTCATGCCACCTTGACGAATCCAGCATGAGCCACACACTTGCTCAGAACAGTCGTTGCGAATTCGGTTGTGGAGTGCACCTTACGTGCAAAAACACCAACAATTAAATGAGAAGATGAATATATATATATATATAAAGGTATAATCACAGTAGACGTTGGCCATATAAAACAACAGCGATAAAAAATATATGTTCCCCCCAGCTGCGACTTAAATGCGCCCAGGGGTGGGACTATATTATATTGTATATGCAGGTACAGGAATGTGAGTCCACATTCCCTTCCGGCTGAATCCCATAGTTTCGTTGGCATGGCTAGGGAAACAGCTGCCATGCCCCTTGGAACAAAACGAAGTTTTACATCTCTACAAATGACACACACACACAAGTTCATCTTAAATATTTTAAGATTACTTCTCCAAAGGTAAATGTCCATCAGATTCATATCAGGCGGGTTGATCCAAAAATACTCAGCCAGGCCTACGATGCCTGGACGTCACGGGACATCCGGTGGAAACCCTTCCCCCAGAAATCGGGGAACTCACGTCCTTGACAAGGCAGGACAGATGCTGAAGGTAGCTTAGGTACAGCATAAACATATATATTATTGAAATAATGTAATATGCATCGTTTATCATGGTAGATGTATAATGATGTATACCTAGTAGATGGTGGTGGATGATGACAGGTGATGATGGACGATGATAGATGATGGTGGTAGAGGATGGCAGGTCACGCACAACTGATGTGAAGACGGTAGCCGACGAACACTGGACATCCGCTGCTGACAGGCTGGTGGTGGTGTCGTCTAATCTCACAGAGCTGCCGGAAGAGCTGTGCAAACTTCTGTATTTGGAACAGTGTCTCGGAAAAAATAATCATGAATTGCATGGTGTGCGTGTACAGTTCATTACTTCCCTTTATCATCCTTTATCTGTATTATTATCAGTCCCTAAATCCTTTTGGGGGTACCCAATGTTGACCCCCTGGCGAAGATTATAGATTAGGAAAGAAGAACCAAGAAAACCATGCTAAAAATGGAACTCAGGAAGCCCAGTGCAGATCATTGCATTGACTTTTATCATCACGTGCATATCTTGGGCCTGTTGCGTCTTCGCTTGCGTTTGCTGTAATAGCTCTTCATTTGTGGAGGTTGGTAGTGAGCTGCTGTCCTATCCGTCGATTGCCAGAAGATTTGTGTGTCTTGGCATGGCTTTTCCCAGAGCACACTGTACAGGTATTATCAGGTATTATTTACTAGCTAGATCTGGCTAGAACATGGCCGTTTGTGAGCGAGCACACAGGAACTCGATTAAATTTTCCCTAGTTCCTCTCAGGGCTCTTACGTGCTGTTGAGGCAACTTGGTGCGCCTGTGGGACTTCTACTTTGATGGCAACCAGCTGGTGGAGATGCCGCGGAAATTTCCACCCCTTCTCAACGGGATCAAAGACTGAGCCTCATTGCGCTGGGTTTGATTCACCAGCCATGGCAGCCACGGACAGTCGCGACAGACGCATTTTTTGTGGCGCTCGGCTCTCAAGTTGTATCAGCTGAGGTCTCTGGCAACCTCTTGAAGCAGTTGCCTGATGCCGTAGGCAGGGACGGGACTCTGAACCCGGAGGTGCCTGGAATCAGAGTTGCTCGGTGTTGATTTGGAAGGCACGTGTAAAGATGTGAAATCGGTGCGTGCCTATGCCAACCAGCTGTCATCACTACCAGATGCTTGGCTTCTACTGGACTTGACATGTTTGGGATCCAAAGTCGCCTGGACATCACATGATCTGGAGGGGGCTTCATACATGATGAGATCTTGGATGAAACCAAGGAAAGTATTTGCAATCTGTCTTATGCGACTGAAATGTCGCTGCAGGGCAATCGTTTGGAATATCTTCCTGCGGCGCTCGGCTCGTTGCAGTGGCTTGGTGGTTGAAAAACTCAGGTAGGGTATAGTATAGCATGATATGATCAAGTTGAAAAATGTTGAAGAGCTCAATCCAAGGGAAAACGCCCAGACTTTCTGAGTGAAGGCCGATTATGCAGATCTGAATATATCCATGCGCTCGAGGCAGTTGCAGTACCTTTCTCTTCATGACAACAATTTGCGAACTCTGCCAGCTTCGGTGGTGCAGCTGCTCCTTGATGAGAAAAACACATTGCCTGCGGGATTTTCAACTTAGAACATGTGAAGTGATTCTTTCGATGCCAGAAAGCGAAGCACGAGCGTTCGCAGACTTTAGGCAAGAGCTCCAGTGGCTATACCTGTACAATAACAAGCTGCAGGATTTGCCCAAGGGGATTGGGAGGCAGGGTAGCCGCAGAGGTCAAGGATGGTCAGGGTCTTCACCATGCTCTCACTTTCTTTGTTGTGTGGTTTCCAGATTTCAAGTGCCAAACTCTCGAAATGAAAAGCATGCCTTGTTCAAAGAGCTGCGTGCTCAAGTCCCAAACCCAAACCCAAACAGGTTGACGGAGTAAGTTTCGTTAGTTCTCATTATGAGGGCTGAAGATTCTTGGATCCCTAGAATGGATGGTTAAATTTAACGATTAAATCATGTCAACTGTTAACTCCAACTTTCACCGACTCCATTGGTACGCCAACCGTGACCCTTTCCCCCCTCCCGTCACAGGCTCCGACGCTTGGAGCGGCTATTGGTGGAAGCCAACCCATTGTCCAAGGCGGGGCTGAGGCACCGTGGGGCTGGATGAAGATTGAGGCAATAAAAGTGTCACAATCCATGGGAATAACAGGGTGATCATTTGTATATTTGCTACTTATTATATAGAAAGTATATAGCTGTTTCAAACCGATCAGATCGGAGGTTTTCTTTCTCCCTCACCAATTCATGGATGGTGAACATCACCAAGCCATACATCTGATCGGCAGTTTCAGTTTCAACTAGACTATATAGATAGATTCATCGGATAATGTATTAATGTATAGATAAAGTATATGTAGTGCGGTCATGTGGTCCCAAAAATATCAACCATCCCCAGCCCCAGCCCAGCCCATGGCACGGCATGAGGCGAGCCTGGCGGATTTGGCCCTTGGGCCGCCCCTGCGACTGCTGGGCTTGGATGCTGCGCAGGCGGCCAGGCATCCGGCGCCTCCATGGGTGTGGAGCCTCAGCGTCCTTGTTTTGGATGGGATTTTCAGAAATCAATGGGGTCAAAAAGGAATGAAACTTGGGATTATAACTCATAGACTATAACTTATAACATCTTATAACCAAACCATACCAAAACTAGTTTCAAATAAAAACCGGCATACATGGCGATTGGACATTCGAACTCAGCTGTTAAATATGAGGGATTTATATACCCAAGAATTAGGGGTATGATTTTCATTTTATAGTGAGTTGTCGCTCTTGAGAGTATTGTCTTGCTTGTTTGTGTTGGTTGCTGGCAAGTTGCTGGCTGACGGACACAGATACACAAATACATGTGACATATGAACTTGTACTCCTTGTCTTTGTCCGTACATGCGAAAATTGTATTGATGCAAGCACACGCGCACGTATTCAGATAGATAGCTGGATACTTAGACCTAGACAGCTAGAGTCAGAGCTATGGAGCGAGCTAGTCAGAATGTAGCTAGCCAAAAGATAGGTATTGTAGATCTAGCTATGTAGCGAGATAGCCAGATTGCTATGTAGCTAGTTAGCTAGGTAGCTGAAAGGAAGAAAGAAAGACAGGTCCATATCAGATAATCCTACGGTAGATATGAATGTATCTGTACCAGAACATGTAATCCCGAATATATGCGTCCACCAACAAGCAACATCATGATACATGCAGCAATACGGCATATCTATCTGTATACATATATATATATACATAATCTCTCTCTTCTCTCTCTTTCTGTTGGCCTCTGCTCATTCTTATTGGCGCTCTTTGCACAAACCAGCCTTTCCAATCGATGCCAATCAATGCAACAACATCTAATCGATCGAGCTCCTTTGCCTCTAAGGCTTCGGTTGGATGGATGATTCCCTGGGGGAAGCACCTTGGAAAGCAAAGCAACATCCAGAGATATCCAGAGCACAAAATCCTGGAAGATTCTTTCGACTCCATTGTGGATGGAATATCCAAACTGAAGATGTCTCAGGCTGTATGCCAAGCTTCAACCGGCTTCGCAGCTAAAGCGGAAAGCAGGATGGAACTAAGCAAGATCAGCAAGCGAATTTCAATGCCTTGGGACTTTGAGGTTTGTTGACTTCTTGCACCTTGTGCCAGGAGTTGAGCCGATACAAGGTGCTCAACCTCCGGAGCACAACGATGTGCTGGTGGTCTCATTCGCAGCAAGCCAGGCAGAGCCAGAGTGGCTTGGGGTGCCTTTGCTGACATGTTGATGCAGAGTTTCTGGAGATTTGGCATGTTTCATGGGCCGTTCCCCGGACAGACCCGTGCCTTGAGCTGAGGTGCTGAGTCAGGTTCATGCGGGGCAGATATCAATAGCCGAAGCTGAAGCCCAGATTTCCATGGAAAATGTGGGGACATTTTCTTCTCTCTTTCGCCCTTTGGATGGCAAAAAAGCGGCCTGCATGGACTTGACGAGTATCTGGAAATACTATGAAATACTGGGGTGGTTAGTTTTCACTTTCACGCATGGGCCTCTCTGAGCTTGGAAACTTGAAGTGATGCTTTTCAAAACTTGGAGAGCTGTACCAAGGTAAGTTGCATGGAGAGAAGAGCATGGAGAATGACGGTGAACACTTTGCCTCCACTGCATGGCTCCTTGCTCCACCTTACAATTGCAGGCGAATGGGCAGGTAGGCAGTGACAAGAAAACCACAGTATTCTCATCGAAGATTCCAGGTTTGCATTGCCACCTCTCAAGGTGAGAAAGTCGGTAGCAATGACTATAATCATTGCACTTTGAAGTTGAAATCCCTGGGGCAACCTGAGTATTTCCTACTTTAGATGAGCCTGGAAGGAGCAACGGGGAAGTCTTGGGTGACTTTGATGTGCTGTCCCTCTGTGACACTGCTGCTCAATGGTATGCGGACGCTACCGAGAGGGAGCAACTCAAACTGGAGGACAAACTACAAAAGCCTCTTGGATAGAGAAAGAATGTGAACTAGCAAAATGGGTTGGACTGTAAAAAGGCAGCGGGTTATATCGGCATTTCAAGTGAGAAGCATGGCACTTTTTGCAGGGCAAATGGCGTGAATGATGCACATCTTGAATTTGGCAGAGTCCGTCGCCCCGAGGTTTGTGAAGGACTATCGCAGAGTGGTGTTTCTGGGTGTGTGTCTTGGTGCACTAGACCTCCCACATCCTGGCACGACAGAATTTTGTGGAGCCTGGCCTAGTTGACCTAGTGCAATCTTGGTGAGTTGGAGAATGTTGGATGAGTCCTTGAAGAAATCACTGATTATACTGATCGGCCCAGGTCCATGGGCGGCTTTGCGGCCCTGTCAAACTCACACTTGGCCAGCTCTGTGCTTGTTTTTGGTCCTCAAACTGAAGCCTGTCTGGAGAAACAGACAGCACGCTGGGCATGGCAGTATTTGCATTTGTTTGCACATATGGCATTGCATTTTAAAGCTTGCATTGAAAGGATTGTCCTAGACTAGGGGAATACATCAAGCATTTCACAACGAAGCCACAAGGATCTGACCATCAGCCACCTGCGGCCCGGCTTTGATCCAGAGCACCTCTCAAGGTCACTTGTCTAGAGCAAACCTACCGTATGCAGCTCAACCAATGCTGGCATTCACACGCACACGCGCACAGACACAGACACAGACACAGACACAGACACAGATACGTATGTACGTACGTACGTACGTACGTACGTACGTACATACATTCATGCATCCATCCATCCATACATACATACATACATAGATACATACATGTGTGTACATGTATGTATGTGTAAGTAAGTGCATGAATCAATATATATATATATGTATGTATGTATGTATGTATGTATGTATGTGTGTGATGTTATGTAAGGTGAGGTAGGGTAAGGTAATGTAATGTTATGTAATTGTGATGTAATGTGATGTAATGTTATGTAATCTTATATTATGTTATGTATGTACCTATGCATGTATATAAATAGATATGTGATACGTGTGAAGCATATACTATTTGGTCAGATGTGTACAAATATATATGCATATATGCTTGCACAGATCGATAGGATACATCAATTTCCATCCACTGTTTAAAGAGTTGGAGATTTTGGCTGGACCTGGCAGGCTGTATGAGAACCTGCGCAAGAATGTGCGAGCAGCGGTCTCTTCTGGTGTCCAGTTTCAGTATCACGTGGGCATTGAGGAGCACTTGGCTTATGCCAGAAGGCTTCATGCTTAGGCTATCTTTGGCTTGTGTTCCTGAAGCAGTTGTATTGTTTACCCTCTGGTAAACTAACATAACTATGGAAAATCACCATTTTCAATGGGTAAATCCACTATAAATGGTCATTTTCAATAGCTATGTTAAATTACCAGAGGGTAGTGCGCAACATTCTGTCTGTTGGGTGAGCCTTGAGCCTTTGTGAAGGTTGCCCCTGCCTCGGAGTAGCATCTTTATACATCCTATTGAAGGCCACTTCCTTGCGAGAATTGGCGGAATCTGGTTGGGCTGATTTGACCACTCTTGAACCATGTCAAGGATTTTGTGATTTCGAAAACGACGAATTTGAGTATTTGGCTGGGTGACTTCCAAAGCTTTCAACAACTGTCCGTTTCAACGCCTCCGTTTGTGTACCGTCGTATTTGGCTCATAGTGCAGCTGGGCAATTTTGTTTGGGGCTTTCCACGTGTCGCCACCATTGGATTTTCGGCCATGATCGCTGCGATTTTGACGACGTTGACGATCCTCGGTGCTTCGGCAGCTTCCAACCGAAGCCTGAGCTCCGCCGCCTACCCAGTGAAGGTGAAGGACAACCTGCTCTATGATGCGCAGGGACGACGTTTCTTTGCCAAAGGTGTGGCTTATAACCCAAGAAATGGCAACTATGGCCAGGTGCTGGGACGACGTGATCCAGCCTGTGTGCCAGGCACGCCCAAATTTCCACCCTTACAATACTACCAGGATCCGGCCTCCGATGATATGGAGGATCAGTTTAAGACCTACCTGCCATTGATTGCCGAGCTCGGTGCCAATGTTGTGAGGCTGTACAACATCGACCCAGAGAAGTCCCACGACAAATTCATGCGTCAGGCGGCATCTCTGGGCTTGAGTGTCATGGTGCCACTCACCAGGGGTGACTGGGGCTTTTTGCCAGCCTTGCCCAGGCCCAAATGTTACTATGAGGATTTGCCAGATTATGGCCATGCGGGTTTGAACCTGCTTACCTCCTCCAAGCTCATAGTGGACCAGTTCAGCAAGTACGACAACACCTTCATGTTTGTCGTCGCGAATGAGATTGATCACCTTGAGAAAGAAGGCTTTGCAGCATATCCCTGTGTGAAGGCCTTGACACGGGACATCCATCGGTACCAGAGGGAGAAGGGATACAGAAAGGTTCCCTTGATCTACTCCAACAAGGACCAGGGTGGCCGTGATCGTCTTGACATTGCCAAGTACCTTACATGCGAGCTGGAGAGCCCAGATGATGTGGTGGATGCTTTTGGACTGAATGCCTACTCCTGGTGTGATCCTGAGTACCTCAGCCCACAAGGTGTCGCTGATTTCAAGTACTCACCCTATGAGAATGTTGCGAAGGAGTTTGCCGATTTGCCCAAGCCATTCCTTTTTACTGAGTTTGGCTGCAACACGGGAGCCTTCGAGACACATTGCCCAGACTACAAGGGTGGCCGAAGCTGGGTACAGGTGGGCGCCATGTTTGACAAGATGGGGGATTTTGTCAGCGGTGCTGTTGCCTTTGAATTTTCCATGGAGAATAACGAGTATGGCCTGGTGATCACTCCGGGCTTTCTGCAGGGTCAGAACAGCTTGAAAATCACGGACAACTACTACGCTCTGAAGAAGCAGTTCACCGAGCACGAGGTGGACCAGGCGACAGCAGCGAAACAGCTTCCTTTGCCCCAGTGCATCAGCAAAGGTACTGCAGATGAGCTGCAACGTCGCAACCGTGTGAAGGAAATCTCTGATTGGAGCAAGCTCCCTCCCACACCAGTGGAGCCACCAACGGAGCCTGAGAAGACGTTGCTCCCTTGAGCCAGCACTGACCCTGAGTGGATACCCAGTGGATACTCTTGTTGCAGCTGTACCCATCGAAAGCTGTGAATTCACCAATTTTTGATCGAGAGGCCATGCACCAAGAATACGGCGCGTCGGTCCCGCAGAATTACTGCTCATGACTCATGGACAGGGCATACCTGACTCGACACCCCGTGCGCTCAAGAAAGATTCTAATTATATAGAATTATGAGGTATTGGGAATGGATGAAGTTTTTGTTTATTTTTGGTAGATTTGGTAGCTGTACTAGCCCCTAGCTATTTGTGGATAGCATCCTTTCGGACATTTTGAGGCAGGCCGTGGGTATGTGGTGTCGACTCAGGTGCCGGATACTCAGTGGACCGTTGACGTTTTTGGTAGCAAAGTGCCAAGCGCGTCTTCGAACGTCCACTGTGGCATTGACAAAAGATCAGTGCAATCTGAAGCCGTTGACATTCATGGCTTGAACTACTGCTTTGGAGCCCTGCGCGGTTTTACATGTTGGTATTCCAGTTTTCCATTTTGCCAAGGTGTCAATTGGATTTTTGAGGTTCAAGCGTCAGGGATCTGTTGCCTGCCGTGGCTCGTGCGCTATTCCAAGTTGTGGCTTGGGAGCTTTCTACAGAATAGCTTTCTGGCCGTCAACTGGAAGCTGCTTAGAAGCCCGTGAAAAAGTAGCACTGGTTCACTTTCTGCTCTTTGGGAGCTGTCACCTTAAGAAATAGAGGGGATCAAAGGTTTTGGATCAAGGAGGGTGCCTCAAAGATGATGAACATTTGCATGTTTATCTCAGAAATGCAGGCCGCATAGCTCGACTGCTTGAGCGCGTCGGTATCCTTTGGCCACTGCTAGTGAGGACAGTGCCCCGCATCGCCAACAGTCCTTGTAGTAATACTGATGATGATACGGATGATACTGATGATGCCGATGATACTGATGAAGGTGGTGATGATGGTGACAGTGATGATGGTGACAGTGATGGTGACGGTGGTGGCGGCGGCTGTTGCTGTTGTTGCTGTTGTTGCTGTTGTTGTTGTTGTTGTTGGTGGTGGTGGTGGTGACGAGGACGACAAAGTTTGTATTTGTGGGCCCACCCGTGCAGCAAGGACATTGGCACAAGAGCAAAGGATTGCTAGAGGAGACCCTGCTCGTTTCAACGGTGCAAATTTTCATTTGCCTCCTGACACACCATTCTGAAAAGCTTGTGCACATGTTGCTGCACGTTTGTACCACTTCCTTCAGGAGCAGTTCCAGCGGACAGCCTGCCAAAGGCCTGGGCAAGTTATGTCATGGTTTGCCTGCATTTCAGGAAAATGACGTCAAGGAGCTTCTGTCAAACACCTATAGCCTACCTGAACCGATTCAAGCGTCGATGCTTCGTGAAACTCAATTCAATGAAATTCTTGGAGACATCACGGAGAACCATCAGAACGGATCAACTCCCAAGACTTCTGATTCTGAACAGGGCAGGACAAGCTGCACGTAACCAAGTCCTAAAGTAAAGCTGAGCACAGTTGATGTTGATAAAGTTTGCTTTCGGTGATTGCGTAAGAGTGTAGCGCATTACTCTTGCCACCTTCCTGTCGACATATTCACGCGATGCCTACAGGACCCTGCACCTGAAGGTGATTATGCCTGGGACCTGAACGACACTGAGGACCCCTGTATTCAGGATTGATTGTCGGATAGTTTGGCAGGGGCAGGCGCAAGCCAACGTGTGGCTCTGTAGCATCCTGTAGCTCCAGGCCACACACAGCTATAGAGAGAAGTTAGCTGCGAGGAGAACCTGGTGCTTGGAATGTGGGGCCGAGGTGGAAAGCTCACCACCTGTGTCTTGGCTGCCACTGTAGGAAACAATTCGATGCTTCCGAGGAGTCCATCCAAAAGCCATTTGATGCCATTTGCACCATGGGTCCGCAAGGAGGGGTCCCTTGACCCCTTGGAATCCATCGGTTCCCCAGCCAAAATGCGTCATTTCAACATATTTTAACATGGCAACTTGTCTCCAAATTTAACCAAGGTCGCATTGCAGCCAAGCAGCTGTGTCGATTGTGCTGCTTCGCACCGCGGGCACACGATTGGTTCTGCAGTCAATGATTCTTGCTTTAATTTTCTTGGAGGCATATATACTTACTATGACTAAGTATACCATTGATTACTATTTTACACTGTACACTGCAGACAGGGGTGTCCAATCAACTGGAACACGAGGCTTTCAGTTTGCTCAGGGCTCTCATTGAGTGGCTGCTACGCTGAAGCTAAGGCTTAGCACACAATGTCTCCAAGGCCAGGCTGCAGTTGTGCATCCGGTGATTCCTGAAGTTGTTGATTTTTCAATACTTGCATCATTCTGAATCATTTTGCATCATTGTGCATCATTTTGCATGAGATCTTGAACGGCTTCCATAACGTTGCTGCAGTTTGTAGCTCGATTTCATTGCTGGTTCTGCTGGGGATGCTTGAGGCCAACCAATGCCGAAGCTGTGGCGACCAATCCGCGCCCGTGGCGACAGTGGCGGAAAGCTGGCGGCCAAACAATGGCCGCAGTGGTCAAAATCGCCTGGCAATTCGTCTCATGGCTGAGCCCATTGCGTTGGTTGTCGCTTTCTGCACACTGATGCCATATTTTGCAAGACAATTCGGATGATGTCTAGCTGCATAAGCCTCTCAGGACCCCACAAGATTCTACACGGTTCTACAAGTTGTTTTGGGCGTGTCCTTTAGTGATCCTACCTTCATGATTTTGGTGTGTCAACAAAGCTTCGCAGAATCATCTTGCAGGTCAAAACCACGGTCCGCTCGCTACCTTGACGAAAGTGATCAGTAGGTCAGTTAGAAAGAGATGTCAGGGCAGATGGGGGAGGTCATTTTGTGAGACAATCTGGTAATTAATCAAAACACAATCAATGCATTCACACACACACATATGATACGTGAATACACATACATTCAACACACAATATGTGATTTAGATGCGTTCACACATGTGAAGGTACATACCTACCTACCTACCTGCCTACCTGCCTACTTACCTATGCGCATACGCACGCACGCACGCACATACTTACCTGCGAATACCTTGCCCTACCTTTCCTTACATAATATCACATCACATCATATCACATAGTATGGCTTTACATTACATTGCTTTACATTACACACACACACACTCACATGCGCGCACACACACACACACATGCACACGCACAGACACACACACACATACATATTATATACGTACATTTATATATTACATTACGCTACACTACATTACATTACATTGCATTGCGTTGCAATACATGACTACATTACGTTACGTTATGTTACATTACATACGTACATATGTCTACGTGCGGCAGTCATAAAGATCCGCAACTGTATATGATTGTGGCACTGACGCTCTTTTAAAAATCACGATGGGTCTTAGGTCGGTAGCTGCCACCACGGCATTTCAATGATTTCCAAGGATGTTGGGTTTGATATAGACACGAGCATTGCACTCATTGTGTTTGTGTCCTGTGGGCGGTTGTTCTACTGCGGTTGGATGCACTGGTTGAGATACACCGGAGTAATACAAGCTGCCAATGCAGGTTCGCATCAGTGCGAGGGCTTGCAATTGTGGCTTTCCTAGCGTTGTTAGCCCAGCCTCTGAGCAGCAAAAGGACAAGCAGTGACTGGAATCGGAAGTCTGGGCTGAAGCATGGTTGAGCTCTTCCACACCCATAGGCCCATAGGCCCATAGGCATCCATGGGCCAATTTCTTTTCGTTGAGGTTTCTGCGGCGCAGAAGCAGGGGATTGAAGTTATGATGTTAGGCAATGCCTGCTGCTTGTCAGCTCCTTAGCTTCTGGCATGGAACAACTGGAACAAGCTTGTTTCTGTGCCTGCACCATGTGCTGATCCATCTGATCCTGTAGTATCGACATTGTCTGAGGCTGAGGCAAGAAGGGCTTTGGTGGTCGACTCCTTCTGAGCTGTGCTTGGCACGATTTAGTCAGCGCTCGGGTGCTTGGTCGTGACGGGCAAATGCTCAAAAATCCCCATCCAAGTCATAGCCCGCAGCCTGCGCTTGTCGCAAAGCGTGTGCTTTGGAAAGGCCGGTCATAGCCGGTTTGAGTTGATTACATGATTCATCTTTATTGTTATATATGAAATTATATGAATATATATATATATATATTTTACTAACACAAACTAATCGTTCTGGAAGAGGCGAGACATTTTGCGCAACCGCCGCTGTGCAGTAGTAGCATTGCATCATGCAAAGAGGTCAAAGTTGTGAGAGCATTGACCTACCTATCAGATCTGATTGGGAGCCTTTGGTTTTTGAGAAGGAATGGCTTGTTTGACGCTACCTAGAGAGGTGCAGAGAAAGGTCATGTCAGGCAAAGCAAGCAGCAACCATTTGCTTTCAAGTTTTTTCTTGCCAAAGAAGCTCCGGCGGACAGCGAGCATGGCCCTTGATTGCCAAAAAGGAAAGCCTTATATTGCCGTGGCTTCAATCTTTGAGAAAATGGCAACCCTGCAATAAGTGACGTGTGCAGTTGTCAATTGTGAAGTCAATGTGCCATCAAAAGGGGGGGCTCTTCTTTGCTCGCATGGCATCAACATGACCCCAAGTACATGCCGAGATATGCCGAGGGTCACAAGGTTCCTGCCGGTGGGAAGCTCCTGGAGGTTTCCATGACATTCTTAACTTGACTAAGGACTGGATCATGCAGACAGAGCAGGCTCTTCACACTGCAGCTGTGGTTGGTTGGAAATTCGTAGAGCAAGCAAAAGAGGCAGGTTAGGCACGATGCAGCTGTATGCAGTATGCATGTATATGCATGTATATTTATATTTACTGCACCTGGGGAATCAACAAGATACAAACATCTTAACATCTTGGCACAGTTTGTCAAGGGGTCCCTTGCGCTGCCTTGGGTTGTTTGCGAGTCCGCAAATATGAGACGCGCACCAGGATATGATGCCAGCATGACAGGAGCCCATAAGGGATGGGATTTGGCGGCTTATTGATTGAAACATGTAGCAACGGGTAGATAGATGTAGCAAGATGTAGAAAAAATGTGGAAATGTGCGGAAAGTGTGTAAGGGTTACTAAGAGTTCAGATTTCTGAGACTTCGGCCATTCACTTTTATCTCATTTTGGCCAGGACGACTCTGGAAGATGAGGAGTGAACTGTTGGAGAGCCGTTTGCACAGAGACTGTGATGATCCAATGAATCCAGGTTGAGGTTTAAATCATTGGCATCAATTGGCATCAACCTGATGAATGGACGTGTGTGAGCCTTTTATGTATCCAAGCTGGAACCTTTAATGCAGGATGAAATCAGTCGTCCAACCTTGCTGAAGGCTCTGTGGGCATCGCTTCCCGGAGTTTGCACAGTTGAAGCAGGAGAGTTGGATCTTGAAAGATCGTTACCCAGCCGGGGGATTGCTGATACTTGCCCCGTGTTCCTCCCTTTTGACAGGCACGTAGAGAGAGCATAGGACCACAGGAGCAATTTCAGGCTTCAAGCCATCATTGTGCCACAAAAACAGAACATGTTCAACAAGTTTTCTGGACAAGTGCGCGCATTTAACATCACTTATATGACACTTAACCGCACTGCGAAGACATCAAAGACCCTTTTGGCTTTTCAAAAGCGAAGATCACTCCTACAGCAGCGTGAAACCGTCCTCTCACTAATCTCAGCCCACCCAACCCTTGCAGCCTCGCAGAACACTACCCAGAGCACTAGAGATGCCGCGTGTGCCCTCCTTGCACTGCTGATGGCCGTGGCTGTGGTCTCTGATGCGGAGCGGCCGCATTTGGGGAAGTTTCTGCGAGCATCGAACGCCTTTAAGCCCGGTGTGCTTTGGACTGATTGATTATTTTCATTTTTTCGGGTTGCTTTGGAAACAGTGCATGGCCTCCGATGATTTCCCTCGTTGGAGCTACAGTACATGCATCCTTGCAAACATCCAAAGGACCTTTGTCTTCTTTTGTGGCTATTCCTCGATGCAGTTTCGCTTCAGGACCTTGTTCTGTGCGAAGAACCCGTGCTGCGGCTCCGGCGCTGGAATCCGGAGGCTTTGTCAGCAGCATCTCGTCTTCGTGAGGCACTCTGACGCGGCTACACAGCATGCAGTTGCGTGTGTTGACTCCCCAGCGTAATCATTCAGCGTTTGAGCTGGTCCGGTCAGTAGTGGTGGCTTAGCATGGTTTACTGTAGCGGTAATAGTGCATGATTCACACACACACAGATATATATATATATATATGTATACATACATACATACAGTCATACTCTCATACTGTTTATATATTCATATGATATCATATGATTGTATATGATATGTTAATTCTGAATCTGTGTGATTTCACCTGCGGGACCCTGCGTGTTCCGATACTTTTTCCGCTTCTGCCAGGCTCAGCTCTTCGTCCCTGAGGGCGATAGTGCAGCTGTGAGACGCTTGCGGCAGGCGACTGCTTCCGAGGCAGAAATCTCAGGAAATCTCGAGGGTCGATGGGAAGGGCTCAATAGGGTAGGGCAAGGTAGGGCTCATGGTGGAAACATGTGGAGATCATTCTGGACATATAGCAGTTCCAAGATTCCTGATGCACACAGAGGTGCGGTTCTGTGGTCCCTGCATGTCCCTGTAAAAGCTTTGCCACCAGGCAGATCCTGAGACCTCCCTTTTTGTCCGCAGCGTGGTGCATTTCAACTCCTTTGGAGCTGGACCCTCTGGGCGTGACCAGGCGGACCAAAAACGCAAGACCAAACTGGGCGGAAACAATCTTCCTTTCATTTTCTTCACTTTTACATATGTTTGAAGGAATTTGTTTGGCTTCCTGCAGGTGGTTTTTCCAACTCTGGCGAGGGCAAACCACTCATGTTTGCCGAACTGTGCCCTGGCTGCACGTGGACACTGTAGATGGGTGAGCGACACCATGATATCTTTCTGTGTTGAGGCCTGGTCGATGGTGATGCTGGTACTCTGCGGGCAGTGCGGCCCATCAGCGTTGGCGAGGCCACAGTTAAAAGCATCAGTGGTCACAGTTGACGGGATGGCATGGCACACCAGGAAGTCACCGTGTCCTATTTGGACGATGCTGGTTTGCTGATGGACATCTCCTCCCGGCAAAAGGAACGCGGATGCTGTCTTGGTGGTTGGGGTTCTAGCTCTGGTTGTATCGCTTGTCATTGTTACTGGCTCACAAATTCTTGAAACGCAGTCACGGTTCAAAGTGGGTGTCAAATGGTCTCAACGCATACCAGCACCATCCGGCACCCAGAACACCAGAAGTTTAACACTGCAGGAGTTGCAGGAGCGCTATGAGTTTAGGCCAGCCACAGTCGCTGGCTGCTCCGTGTTGGCAATTGCCAGGGCTAGCTGCTCGATGCATTTTGTTGGCTTACAACGATTTTCCTATCGAAATTGATGACCAGGTGCCAATGCCAGCGCTGCACTTCGGTGGATGACACTCGCCGATTTAGCTGCCCCTGTGGAGGCAGGAAAGGGGCAGACCTTGGGGTCCATGGCAGCAGGAGGCCAACAGTTTAGCATGTGGTCCCATAGCATTGGATGGTGATGCCTCCACAATATTCCTCACCGTGGACCTTGGAATGGAAGGACGGAACATGACGGGACATGTAGATATACCATGATATACAGTTGTCGAATCCTTAGAGCAGCTTGTACCTTGTACAGAGTGAGTAGATCAGTTGCCAAGTGAGATTCTCGCATGCAGCTTGCCGCAAAATGCTACAGAGGTGAATGAAAAAATCCACGGATACGTGCTAGCACGGACATGAACGATTCAAAATGATCTTTATTTTACAATCGTGGAGCCATCAATTTTATTGCTGTTCTCGCGGCCACAGGTGATAGGCTGCCGCTGGATAAGTCGCGTCTCCGTTGTCTGGCCTGCAAGGAGACGATGGAGGCGGCTGAGCTGTTTGAAGCTGAAGAGCATCTTGCACAGCAGTGGCTGATAGCTGGCAGTTTGCTGAGATATTTTCCATTACCCCATGGTCACTCACTCGGTATTTAATTACGTCATTTTGCATCTATTTACCACTTGGGATGGCCATCCAAGTTCCTACTATATATATCACGAAAGGTAGCCTAGGCTACCTGAGTTCTATGTACTTTAGTACTAGTTTAGTACTGGGGGAGGTGGGTGGTCCTTTCCCGGAAATTGAGAGCCGAGAGTCACGAACGGAGACTTAGGGGGGGGGGTGAAGAGGGGCCCTAGCGTCTACTTCAAGATCAGCTAAGGCGTCTTCCCCAATGACAGCACTCTTTTACTCTCAGCCTGTTGCCGGTCAGTGCTTGTCTACAGGGTTACTCTATATACCTCTTTCTTGAGCCTTGAAGGGCGCATATAAATGTGCTCAATACTCATGCATGTACCTATGTAGGTATTAGGTCGAAACAAAAACACAGGCACAAATTCAAAAGCAATGAGTAGAGCACTACGCCTTGCCGTACCCAATTGGTATTAAGAGTATCTTCCTGACTTCTCTACACAATGGCAAATAGCAAAAGAAACCGGAGTTACGCAGTGGCTTCGAATTGAAAAACACGTGAAAGCAGCGAATGTCCTAAGGACATGTCGAAAAAGAACAGCGGATTCGCTAATTTTTCCAGTAGCGACCAATGGTGCTTCGCGCACGGTCTCTCCATAGGCAAAATGCCTTGCTCTACCGGTGAAAGTTCGAATTGAAAAGTTCGGGTTCGCAAGATTCAGAAATTCAGGTCATACGAAAACAATTGACCAAATCACGAAATAAACGGAAATAGCGGATCTCCAAAGTTGCTCATTCAAGCAAACAATGGACTGAAATCGAAGTTGGTAAATTTTTGAAGTTCGCTCCATTCGGAGTGGTCTGCTCGCCGGATGATTCATGGAGATAAATGTATATAGTATCTCTATTTACAAGAGTCTCTATTTTACATTAAATTGAAGTTCAGACACTTGTGGCATTATCTCTATCTAAAAGAGTATATGCCATCTGTGTGAAATAAGTTGAACGCACAGAAAAACTGTACACGGCTTCTCATGCTGTGTTATCTTCAATTAAAGAAGTGTACACTCACTCATCGCCACTCACTTGATCTCCATGGTCTGGACGCTGAAGATGAGGATCCACCCCACTCTGTGTTGCCCTGATACGTCGATGCTTGATCTTCATATGCCTTTCTCTTTTTCTCCTTCTGTCTTTCCTTTCTTGAATCAGCATACTGCTTCTTCTTGTAGGCCTGTTTGTAATGATGTCGTTCATTCCATGACATATCAGAAGGATCAAGATGGATAAGAATTGGATTATGAGCATCGCGATCATTTGGAGCAACCATGAAGATGTTGTGATCACCATGTAAGCAAGTTTCATTTACCTTGAAGTAAAATTCACCCACATAGTTCATGTGATCTTCATCCTCAAAGTCTTCTGGGTGTTCCTCACACATCAAACGTGAATGACCCCACTCAACAACTGTTAACATACAACAATCACCTTTACCATTTGTCTTGTTCATGAGCTCGTCGGTGTATGTTGCTGTTGTAATGCCATCCAAGTGCGTTGCAAGAAAATCCAAGTCACGATAACTGCAAGAAATGAAATGCTTGACCCTGATTGGAGGGCAAGTTGGATCAAAATTCTTGCGCATGGCTTGTGTTGCAACACCTACCATTCTGTTAATCCAGAATTGGATAAGGCTGTGTTGATATGTAGGGACACCTGGAGATTTTGGTGTGCTGTAATAGCATGCCTTGTTTCCATCACCTGCGATGAAGTCAACTTGATATCTGGCACACTCAAAAGCCATAACAGCTAAGCACTCACCAACAATCCCAGCAGAGTCTGATGCATACTTCTGTCCGACGTGATAAACGCACACACGTGTCATTCTCATCCTAGCTCTTGTCAAGTCAACAATCTCATCTGTATCTCGATCCTTTGTCTTTCCCCAAGATACTTCAAAGATTGCCCATGAGACTTGTCGAACTCGTGTGTCGTTGTCATCTGTGTGATATCCAGCAATTTGCTTGATATAGCCATCCTTTCCAAGGCGAGCGGCCACCATCAAGTCATGATAGTCATTGAAGCAAGTTTTGAAGTCAACCTCGTTGAGTCTTTCTCTGTGAGGATACAACGAACCAGCCTCGCAATTCATGAAAAGATGTCCTCCAAAGTTCTTGATGACATTGATGAAGTAATTGTTGAACTGTGATTTGGTTTCATCAAATTTTTCATGATCCTCATCGATAGTGTAGTCAATGTGTGGAATGAATTGTTGAAATCTTTCTGGAACCGGGCATTTTTCAAATCTGTTTCTGCACCAGTTTCCCAAATTCCAAAACATTGCTGTTATCTGTGGAGAGGATCTGTATGGAAATTCAGCATCCTTGTACGTTGGGTCTGATAGGCCTCCACCTAAATACCTGTAAGCCAAGCTATGCAAGATCATACAGTAAGGCAAGACCTTGTGTTCCTCAACGTAATCTTGGAGTACCTTTGTGAGATTTCCAAAATCGTCATCAATCCTCTGTTCTGCTTCTTTTGAGGATCTTTCTGCTTTGTCTTGATGAAGAGGATGCATCCTTGGATCACTACAACCATATTCAATGCGCTGATTAAGTTCTTGTAATTCTAGTTGTGGATCCTGATTCTTGTGTCTGGCAATGTACTCAACCATCAACTGGTCATCTGTAAGATGGTACCAAAAATCATGATGTGGAGACATGGTCTTCCTGTACTTAACATGCCAAAACATATGTCGATGCTTCGAAGACGCTGGATAACCTTTGTTGTAAAATCCTGCCCATTCACCATGGTAACCATCTGAAAAACAATCCTTCAATTTTCGAAAAACTGAATCATCTTCGTTTCCAGTGATATCTTGACCATAGTAAAGTCGAATTGCAGGTTTCACTTCAGGAGCTGTCTCATCATCTTGAATGTCTGTTTTCTTCTCCCCTGATTCCTCCTTTTCTGAGGAGCGTTCAGGTGGAGCTGATTCCTCTTTCTCTGAAGAGCCTTCAGCTGGGACATGTGGCTCCTGTGTGTCTTTTTCTTCTTCTTCTTCTTCGACAGCAATCTCCTCATCTTCATCCTCTTCTTTCTCTTCTTCCTCTTGTCGTTCTTCTGGTTTGACAAAACTTTCCTTGATCTTTCGTTGAACATTCTGATTGCACATACTGATCCATTTCAATGTACACTCAACCAATTTGTCATCATCAGTTTCCAAAATGATATGTTTGTCCTCAATGTTCAAACTTTCAATGGTATGCTTGTACTCAGGATCACCTGCGCCTGGTCTTTGAAGATCTGGAAGTGGAGTGTCTGGATCATCGTCCACCATCTGAGGATCCTCTGCTCCAAAGAAATTTTCTGCGCCAAGGTGTTCATTGTCCTTGAGAACTTTGTCAATATCCAGTTTGAACTCATAGTACTTGTCGTAAGAGATCTCATAACCCATCATAGGTGCATACTGCTCCATAAATGTTGAAAAAGAAGCATCTGATAATGCCGACATCATCAACCATAATGAGAAGAAGCTTATGTCACCACGTTCAAGGGGTCGACTTCCTTCAAGATCATCTTCTGTGAGGATTGTTTGGCCTTGGAGTGTAATATCATGGAGGATCTGTCTGTGCTCTGGTTTGAGTTGCCTGACTAAGAACAGTCCCTGTCGATCTTCCATATTTCTTCGAGGATTTGCATCAGGTAATACCTCACTTTCTTGTTGTGGTTGTGTTTCCTCTCTTTCTTGAGAGCATACACCTTCTTCCTCTCTTTCCTGAGAGCCTGATGCCTTTTCCTCCTCTTTCCTGACAAAAACTTGTAGTCTTGGCAAAAACTCCAAATCATCTTCAGCATCATCATCATCGTGACCTTCCATGTCCACATTCTGTTGCTCTGATCCTGGGATGTGAGCGATCTTGTCCTTTCCAGCTACCCAGATGTAGCCATCGAGCTTTGTAGATGTGTGGAAGTCACCTGAACCGCATTCCCTGACCTTTGTCCTTGCTCTTGCAGATTGATGGAATGCTTCATGCTGAAAGAATTGATTGTAGGCATGTTCAACAAAGAATCTGTAGGATTGAGCTGTCAATTCCTTTCTGCTATCCACAAATTGTCGAAGCTTGTTCAAAGCAAAAACTGTGAAATGGCTGAAGCTAGCAGGTGCTTCATCTTCATACAGATCGATTGCCATGATCATCATCTTTGTGGAAAACGAGAAATGCCGTTCAGGTTCAGGGATGACTGTTCTCTTGTTCATGGGAACTGTAATTCCTTGGATAGTCATGTCATACCCATGTGTGTTCAACTCCAGTGCATCCAAAATGTTACCATCACGGTCCTTCTTTCTCCTGCAGAAATCTCCCCAGAGTTTGTTGTTCTCTCTAATGAACTGATCAAGATGCTTAGTGTAAAAGACAAAGACTGCTTCTGAGAGATACTCCATGTCCTTCTGTATTGCTAAGTCTCTTTCGTATAGCAAGAACTTCTCTCTCCATTCGTCTCTGTTGATACTGTGTCTGTCTTCCCAACCTGTTGGGGCAACTTGACCTCGCATCCAGTCTGTCCAATATTGTCGACAAGAGTTCATGTAACCTTCCATGGCTTCAATGTTTCCTTCTCGATGGAAGTGTGCCAACATGCGTCCAATCTCCCAAGCTCTTGTGAAGAGTAAGCATAGATGTCCTGTCCATGGTAATTTCTCCCAATCTGAGCGAGTGATTGATTGTCTACGAAGTGCTATCTTTTGTGAAGAGAGTAGTAGGTTCCATTCACGCAGAACTATCACTTTTTCTCCTGAGGAGTTCTTGATGAGTTCACCGCTCTCTTCTCTTGCACAGACAATACCTGCCTCATACAGGACCCAGGGATTCGATGCAGAAATTGAACTTTTGGTAGCCTGTTCTACCACAGGGTCTTCAATATCATCTGGTGGATCTTCTGCTTCCCAGAGATTGACAGCCTCTTCACCCATTGGGTCGTCATGGACGTCCACTGATGGCTCCTCTTGTTGATTGTCTTGAGC